CTAGAAAAATTAGCTTCACAGTCAGAGCAACAGTTGATTCTTATGCTCCTCCTATCCTAAATGCCTATGAGATTTACGGAGTCTTCCTATAACTAAATTCCCCTACAAACACACAAGATGGTATTCCTATAATTTTCATTTATTATTTTTCTTCAAGAAAATGAAATTTTTAGTACCTTCTAAAAATATTAATTACAGTTAGAGACTTTAAAATTATGAAATTTCAAAAAAAGATCATGGCCCTTAGTTAGAATTAAGATTTTTTTGATGGAATTTTTCAGTACTTAACTTCCATACTTTCAATAGTTATCTTTGGCATCTTCAATACTCATTTTTTATTTGTTTCAGTAGTCACCTTATATGTTTCCAATATTTATCTTTCATGGTTTCAATATTAAAAAGAATTACTGATGAGAGAGGAAAAGGGGAGAGAAGAGAGGAGGAAGAAAGAGACTATTCCATTGATAAAAAATCATCAAAGAGGCAGGGCACAACACATATACGCTAAACCTAAACACGTGTAGGGTCCTACACTGTCAATACTTTTCTAACCTTCAGCAACAGATAAAGAGGTAGTAATAAAATCATGCATAAAGACAAGAAAGCCCTTAAATAAAGCAGTAACATATAACAATACTCCTCCTTAAAAAACATCCTTATCCACAAGGATGGAAGTAGTAGTAGGTGCATGAATATTGAAGTGAGGAAATTGTTGTTTGATGGCTGAAAGATCTTCCCATGTGGCATCTTCAGGCTGAGAAAACTTCTAACGAATAAGAACTTGAGTGATGGGCAAGTTATGTCGCTTAATAATCTTCCAGCCCAAAATTTCATCTAGTTCTAGGATAAATTGGCCATGATCATCAACTGGTGGTAGGGTAGAGTAAAGAGTAACAGCAGGAGGAACAAACTTTTTTAACAAAGAAACATGAAACATGGGATGTACTTGGGTATGAGGAGGCAAGTCCAACTCATAAGCAACAGATCCAATGCGCTTCAGCACTTTGAAGGGCCCAAAATAACGAGCAACTAGCTTATGTAAGGAAGAATTATTCAACAAATTCTTCCGAAAGGGATGTAATTTGAGGAAAACCATATCCCCCACATTGAAATGCCATTCAGAACGGTGCTTATTAGCTTATTGCACCATTCGATGTTGAGCCTTCAACAAGTGTTGCTTCAATAGTTGCAAGGTGAGCTCTCGAGCGATGCAAGTTCTATCAACCATCTCATTGGGTGAGTCACCCGCACTATAAGGCAAATGAGTGGGAGGAGGTACACCAAAAATGGCCTCAAAAGGAGTCATCCCAATAGAGGAATGATAGGTGGTGTTATACCACAATTCAGCTAGTGGAAGCCACTTAACCCATTGCTTCGGGAAATCACCAGTCATGCAACGAAGATAACACTCCAAGCAACAATTAAGCACTTTTGTTTGGCCATCTGTTTGAGGATGGTAGGCCGAAGAAAAGTGCAATTTAACTCCATATAATCTAGAAAGTTCCTTCCAAAATTTGCCACAAAAGATTGGATCGCGGTCCGAAACAATGGATTTAGGAAAACCATGTAACTTGACAACATTGTTCATAAATACACTAGCGACATCCACAGCAGTAAAAGGATGCTTCAAGGCCATAAAATGGGCAGCCTTAGATAGGAGGTCAATAACCACAAGAATAGTGGTTTTAGAGTAAGACTTAGGAAGGCTACTAATAAAGTCCATAGAAAGTTCAAACTAGATGTGATCGAGGATAGGTAATGGTTGGAGAAGCCCTGGGGAGGCGACCAATTCAGGTTTAAAGCATTGGCAAGTGGTGCATTGGCGCACATAGTTACGAACATCTCTCTCTATTCCTTTCCAATAAAAGAAAGAAGCTAATCGTTTGTAAGTAGGATTCATACCAAAATGACCACCAATAGCATCAGCATGAAAAAATTGAAGTAAATCCTCTCGAAGTCCACGATCAGCCCCTACTACAAGTTTACCCTTCCTTTTTAATAGATGGTGTTGCCATGTATACTTAGAATTGGACAGGGGGTCATGTTCGAGACTCTTAATTAGTTGCTGTAATTGATTATTAAGGAGCCAAGAGTCACGTACTCTATCATATAGAGGAGAAATAGGCATAGAAATAGCCAAACAATTCCTAATAGAGTGTCTAGAAAGAGCATCAGCTGCTGTATTGTCGCAACCCTTATAGTAGATGATGTCATAGTCAAGTCCCCAAAGCTTATGAAGCCATTTACACTGCTCTTGGCTTAAATCCTGCTATTCTAATAAATGTTTCAAGGGTAAGTGGTCTGTTTTGATAATGAATTTTTGCCCCCAAGGATAAGAACGCCATTGCTTGACAGTAAAAACAATAGCTAGCAGCTCACGTTCATAAGCAGATAATTGGCGCTTGCGAGTTGAAAGGGACTTACTAGCAAAAGCTAAGGGGCGACCCTTTTGAGATAGAATTGCTCCTAAACCATGTCCCGAAGTATCAGTTTCAATCATAAAAGTTTCATTAAAGTCGGGAAAGGCAAGCACCGGGGGAGAGAGCATAGCACTCTTAAGGGATTCAAAGGCTGCCTGAGCTTGAGGAGACCATATAAAACGTTAATTCTTCTTCAATAATCCAGTGAGGGGGCTACTAATAAAACCATATCCCTTCATAAAATGTTGATAATACCTTGTGAGACCAAGAAATCCGTGTAATTCCTTGACTAAGAAAGGAATAGACCAAGAAGCTATGGCTTTCAGTTTCTTCATATCTGCCTGAACACCATGAACAGTGATGACATGGCCAAGATAATCTATATGGTTTGCTGCAAAAATGCACTTAGAGGCCTTAGCAAACAATTGATGGTGTCGTAACAGTGATAACATTACTGTCAAATGATCTAAGTGAGCTGCCCAATGTTTGCTGTAAACCAAAATATCATCAAAAAAGACTAAAATAAACTTTCACAAGAAGGGTCGAAAAACTGAGTTCATAAGACCCTAAAAAGTAGTAGGAGCATTGGTAAGGCCAAATGGCATAACCATAAATTCATACAAGCCATCATGAGTACAGAAAGTTGTCTTGTCAATGTCCGCTTGATTCATTCGAATCTGATGATAACCAGCACGTAAATCCAATTTAGAGAAAAATTGAGCTCCAATAAGCTCATCCAAGAGTTCCTCTATAATTGGAATTGGAAATTTATTCTTGACAGTAGCCTCATTCAACCTTCGATAATTAACACAAAAACGCCATGTACCATCTTTTTTCTGTACTAAAACTATTGGAGCAGCGAAGGAACTATGGCTTTCTCTAATAATCCCATTGTCAAGTATCTGTTAAACTTGCTTCTCAATTTTAAATTTCTAAATAGGTCCATACCGATAAGGCTTGCAAGAAATCAGATGATTCACTTTGAGGGAAATAGTGTGATCAAAAGCACGTGATGGGGTAGAGTTGAAGGCTCAGCAAAACACATCCGAAAATGAGTTTAAAATAGCATCCAACTCAAGCTGCTAATTGGCAGAAAGATATGAGTTTTTGGGAAGATTGTACCTGAATTTGAAGAGGAGCATGAATGAGGTAAAGAGTATCCGTTAGTAACCAAGGACCATCCGAGATGGGTGGGTGAACAACAAGGTCTGGTAACTTGCACCCTATGCCGTGAAATTCAATTAGGCTCCCATTTTTGTAAAATTCAAACAAATTTTCAGTCATATCTATAGTAAATCGCCCCAATGACTTGATCCATTGTGCCCCTAAAATCATGTCATACGCCCCAATATTCATTATTAAGAAATCAGAAGAGAAGACAGAGTTGCCAATTTCCCACTGTAAATTGGGACAATACTGTGTAACTAAAAGCTGGCAAGCGTCTGCTATAGTAATGCGAACTCCTTGCTTTTCTTGAACAGGTAATCAGAGTCTCTTAGCTAACATCAAATCAAGCACGTTATGAGTGCTGCCGGTGTCAATCAAAATAATAACCTATTGACGCTTAACCCGTTCAAGCAAACGTAGGGTCGAAACTCCTTCTTAGCCATCCATAGCATTAATAGTACCCGTGGGTTCTTCATCAGTTACTTCTTCTTTGGCATCTTCAAAATGTCAAGCTCATCATCCACAAGCAGAGCATAGAGTTGCGAGTCTCGGCACTTATGACCACTACTATAACGCTCACCACACCAGTAGCAGAGGCCTTTACGCCTGCGTTCGTCCATATCCCGTTTAGAGAGGGTCCTTTGGGTCTTGGAAGAGGCTGAAGATACTGAGTTTGCTGGAGGAGATGGTTTGGGCTTCTCCAATAATGGGCTAAGGGATGAAGTGGGTTTAAAAGGAAAGTCCAACTTGGGACCTGAACTGGTAGCATAGGAAACTCGAGAAGGATTGGCAGCCTGGAACATGGACGAAGATAGATAACGACATGATGAAGACGGCAAAACAGGGGCATGATCGTGAATGACCTGAATCGCGGCGACTTGGCGTCTCGCGAGTTTCATTGCAGTAGCTAAGGAAGATGATTGAAAGCTGAGAACGCTCTGTTAAACATCACTCCTCAATCCACCAATGAAGTAGTTCATCACAGCGTCGCCCGATAAGTCTACTTCTGTCAATAACTTATCAAACTTCTCCTCATATTCATCAATTGATTCACCCATCTGAAGTTTCTTAATGGCAATCATTAGGTTATCATCCTTAATATCCCCAAATTTAGCCTCCATTTCTTTGAAGTAATCATCCCAAGAAATGTCCGATAGTTGTCTCTATTTCAAAAAAAAGAGATGCCAACGCAATGCACGTTTCTCCAGGTGAATGCATAGAAGCCTAATACGATGTTCAAGAGGAGTGTCATCAATAGCAAAAAATTGATGACATTGATAAGCCCATCCTCTAAAGTCAGTGCCATCGAACTTAGGAAATGCAACTCTACTGTGTTTGGTTGGAACTGAATATGGGAAAGGAGGTGTAGGAAGCAGGCCTTAGAATGAGCCAAATTGTGGTGGAGGGGCAGAAATGGGTGGTAGGGGTACTGAACCTGAAGCTGAAGGTGTGGCAGGATGTGAAAATGGTGTTTGAGTTAAAGTTGGAAGTGGAATGATGATGGGTTAGGATGGTGGTGACATTGTAGGACGTTGGGTAGGGCTAATAGGAGGGTTGGAGGGCTCACCAATCTTAAAGGTAAGTGGCCGAAAAGGTTGAGCTGCCATGGTTGAAAGTTTAGCAGATATATCTGCTAAATGATCGAAAAATTTGTCAAGCGTCTGTTTCATTTCTAAGATATTGTTTGTGTTCTGTTGCACTAACATAGATTGCATATCCAAGCAGTGTTCCAAATCACTGAGCCTTTCAGTGGAGGATCATGTCTCCAGCGGATCCATGGTGGGAGAAATGGCTCTGATGCCAAATGATAAGAGAGGAAAAAGGGGAGAGAAGAGAGGAGGAAGAAAGAGACTATTCCATTGATAAAAAATCATCAAAGAGGCAAGGCACAGCACATATACGCTAAACCTAAACACATGTAAGGTCCTACACTGTCAATACTTTTCTAACCTTCAGCAACAGATAAAGAGGCAGTAATAAAATCATGCATAAAGACAAGAAAGCCCTTAAATAAAGCAGTAACATATAACAATTACAGATAAGTGTTTTACATTGTGTTGAAAACATATAAGACAACTACTAAAAAATTGTAAAATTGTGTACTAAAAAACTAATTAACTCCACAAAGTTTTAATTCCAATTAAGAACTATAGTCCTTTTTTATTTTTATTTTTTTGAAATTTCAGAATTCTTAACAGTAAATAATGTTCTTAGAGGGTCCTTAAATATCATTCTTCCTTTTCCTTCTTTTGTTTGATTTTCCAATATTCATATAAAACAATATATTAAAAAAAAAGCTCAAAGTAGTTTGTTTATTGTTGGAAATATGCAATTAATGCCGTCATGGAAATCAACTTGGCAAGGGGACCCATGTGTGCCATCTCACTTTGCATGGGATGGTGTAATTTGCAGATCTGACAACAATACGGGAATTGTCGCATTGTGAGTAGTACTACACCATTACTCTTTTTTATGATTTGTTATATTTGAAGAACTTGAGAAGCATATTACACACACACACAAACACATGTTATGTTTACATATTTTGCATATGCAAAATCGTTGAAGAGAGCACAGTAAAATGCCCAAATCTAATATATATGAACCATAAAAAAGATATATGGCGGGTTGTTAATTTTCACAAAAATTACAATTCCCCTTCAACCTCTTTGAGGCTTAATTGCATTCATAGGAAATTTATTGTGAAGGATTAACTTCATAAGAGCCAGATACACATTGTGACCTTGGACATCTCTCTTCCTTGCTCATTCACTTTCTTCATTTTGATGTCAGGGTTCTAGATAAGGATTATTTCTTTTTACATTTTAATTTTTTTCCTTTGTTGTTTCAAAATGTTATTGCACTATAGACTTTTTACTATCATATAATATATTTGTTTCCTCTAAAAAAAATAGATATACGAACCATTTATAATGTGTGGATTTTATAATATATCATATAATATATCGCCTTGATTTGTTAATATATCTCAATCTACAAACTATTGTGAACTACAAATTGCAGGAACTTGAGCTCAAGTGAACTCAGAGGTCAAATAGATAAATCACTCACCGGTTTTAGAAAAATTGGAGTCACTGTAAGTTGTAACATAGGATAGGCTCTAAACATATTCAATTAATATTATACTGAGCTTATTGTTAGATATTATGAACAATACCAATCAACTTCTTTTATATATTCATAGGGATTTGTCAAACAATGAATTGATTGGAGAACTACCAGAATTTCTTGCAACTCTTCCTCATTTGAAATTCATATATGACCCTAATATATATATATATATCACATAGAGTCTTTCATGCACTGGATTATATTGTCACGTACCCCAAAATTCCATTTATTTTCTTTTTATCATCTTCCAGTGATGTGACAGGAAACAAGCTCACAGGTTCAATTCCCCAAGCTTTCAGAGAAAAAGTTAATTTGCAGCTCAGGTTTATAATTCATTTGTCTTCAATATATGACAAGATCAAATTCAAATTCTAGTTTATTTTCATTTGATCGGCTAAATTGGATAAAGTTTTGGTCGTGATTTTCATTCAATCATTGATAATTTGGAAAAGGAAGAAGGAAGAGAACAAGAAGATAAAATTTTCTTATAAATCATCAACATTCCTAAAAGTTTATGCAACCACAGTACATAATGCCTTTCTAGGACAAAACTTACACTCTCCTTCTATTCACAGTATTATAAGGCATTATTTTTAAAGTATCATATTAAAAAAATATAAGGTATTTTGAATCTTGCAAGGTGTAATTAATACATTTTTTCCAAAAATATCATTAATTAGGTGTGTAATTAATAAGGGTTTGTGATTGAGACAAACTATTAAAAAATTATTAAGGTTAAATTAAACATCGAAAGAATGCATAATTTTAAATGTCATTAATTAATTTATTGAGAGGTAAAATAGTTAAAAGTGTGCTATAATATTGAACGGAGGAGTCCTAATTAGCATTAGGAATAGATCATTAATTAAAAATATTGAGTCACTAAGCATACTAAAGGCGAGTGAGCACATACACATGTATGACATGTTACTTTGAAATATGCGCTTTAAGTATATACTTCCTCTTCCTATTTTACCAGTGTGGGCAACAATCCAGGCCCCTGTGAGATAGATTCATGCAACAAAGAACACAAGTTTGCAATTCCTCTGGTTACATCAGTTGCAGTTTTTGGTCCTAATTGCTATTATTTCTTTGTTGATTTGGAGACTCAAAAAGAAAAGACAAGCTATCTATTTTTATATCCGATCTGTTATCCTTTCATTGGGAATTTAACACACACATGGTTTCCCAATCTTCGCACATCTATATATGTTAGTTTCAAACAGAGATGTGATTAGAAATTCTAGACTGCTTTTCCCAGTACTTTTTGTTTTACCCCACATTGCATAAGCTTTCAGACATAAGGTAGTTTACATACTGTGTGTTGGGCACGTGAGTGTTGCATGTGTATTTCCAAGGGCATTACTACGTTGTAATTGGGGGGGGGGGGTCATCTTTCTTCCCTGTTCTTCATATTTTCATGCACATTATGAAGGTTCATGCAAATAGTGATTCTAGCAAGCAATCGACGTGCCCAGAATTGTGTCCCTCTGGTACAGAAACCACACTCTGAAAAAAACTCTCTGTTTATTCTCTATTTGATGTCTTACAAGTGAAATGGGATGGCTATTTATACTGAGACTTAGGGAACAACGATTTAAATGTTCGGGAGGGAGTTTCAGCTATTATATGAGCTATTACTTGTGTTTATTAGCCTGGAAAGGTTACAAAGAGAGTTATGGAGCATTCAAAGTTATCAACGGAGATGTTACAAGCTTCAAGGAGTTATGTTCAGGCTTCTGTTTCACCCTCTCAACGCCAAAGGACTCCACTACTCGCTCTCTCTCTCTCTCTCTCTTATTATATATATATATATCCCTCCCTCTCTATTATTTATATATAATTTTTTTATTGATATATTTAAATAAAAATAAAATACATGATTTCCCAATTTATTAAAATATTTTAGTTTATTAAACCTTCACATCTAAAATGGAAGTAATAGTTAATATTAATATTATACATATTATTTTTCTCAATTAATTTTTTTGGAAGTTGATCATTTGTATGAAGAAATATTTATTTTTCATTTAAGTTGTATATAGTGTTAATTAAAATTATTTTAAATATCTAAACAATGTAAATATTTTTTAAAAAAATAATATATAGATATGTGATGTTATATAAATTAATTTTGAAAATTTGCTGGCCCTTGGGAAAGGGTTTGTTAGGATAGGCCAAAAAAAAAATAAAAAGGATAATACACATGCTGTCAATTTCTTGACCTAAAAAGCTAATCTCCTGACATAACGAGATAGAACATATGATCTGCTTTGCCCATATTCTTACCTCTAAAAATGAAATTTTCTAAAATAAGTGTTAAATATCGATTCAAACAATTTAAATATGAATTCTTGATACAATATGAAAAAGTTACATTTGAAACTTAAGGGCCTGTTTGAAATTATTTTTATTTTATTATTTCAAGAACTAATGTTTTGTAGAACATGTTCGATAATAAAAATAATAATAATAATAGCTTTTTTTCTCATTCTTCTTTATTCTTCAGAACAATAATCCTATAATACTTAAAAGATATTTTGTTTTTCTTTTTGCTAGAACATTATTTTATTTTTATTCTTCAAAATATTTTTTAAAAATACGTTATCAAATAAATTTTTTTTTGTTTTGGAGAACAGAAAGCTATTTCTATAACATATTGCCAAACAAGCCCTAAATGTCTTATTTATAATTAAAACTTTTGAATTTGTACTTGTTTAAATTCATATTTGCAACTTATTTATTAGGAATTTTCGTCGAGGACCTAACGGTCATTAATTAAAAATTTTGGGACTTAACTATTGTCGTTCTTCCTTTTATTTTTTTAACTTCTTGCAAGTCTAAAAGAATTCAATATAATGATGCAGATTTGTCTACCAAATCCGTGAAGATTGAATTCGAAAACCAAATAATCGGGAATTTTCTCACGCACAAATTCTTCATATCACCAAGAATTTTGAAGCTCTTATTGGAGAAGGAGGATTTGGGAAGGTTTACCTTGGCACTTTAGAAGATGATTCTCACGTTGCAGTCAAATTACTTTCTGCACCATCAAAGGAAGGATATAAGGAATTCCAATCAGAGGTTAGACATAATCAAAGTCACACCATATAAATGTTCCAAACTTTTTAATTATGTGCAAATTAAGTGCCAAATCTTCTTATCAGTTATAATAATGGAGCTAAGTTTTGGCTTGTAGGCTCAACTCTTGACAGTTATTCACCGTAGAAACTTGGTTTCGCTTGTTGGGTATTGCAATGAAAACAACATCATGGCCTTGATTTATGAATATTTGGATAACGGTGACCTTGGCCAACTATTATCAGCTTTCTCATATCTTGTTCTTAAAACTTTGTAGTATATGGTGGTTTAATTTTCTCGTGGTTTTCAAGTCATATGTACAATTATCTATACAGTTAGTAAGATCTCATTTATTGATCATGATGGAATATTATAAATAAAATAATAATCCGAAAAGCAAATATGTCAAATCTTAATTACTATATTTGAGCATTGCAGAGTCTACCCAATTATCCACACTAAATTGGACTATTAGAATCCTTTTAAGATGCACAACAGATGCACTGAAGAGAGGAAAAAAAGGAGAAGGAAGAGCGAACAATGAGAGAGAGGTGCTCACTTTGGGGTGTATTTTTCCTTCAGCTACCCACAACTATTTATAGTGTGGGAAGGCCACCGCAAAAAGAAAATTTCAATTGTCATAATTCACCTCATAACGGAGGGAATTAATATGAGGGAATATTCACAAAGCATGCATCCAGGAAAAACTTCCTATTTGAGAACCAATCAGTAATTACTTCACCATTCATTTCTGATTTCCGATCAACTGTAATTAATCTAGAATATGTCAGATTTCCACTAATTGCTTTAACATAATGACCCAATTCCTATTAAGGATGGATCATTAAATTCTAACAGATCATAAAGGAAAGATTGTAAATTTTAATTTGGCTAAGTACTCATATAGTTCTCTGTAATTAAATCTGGCGCATCAAAGCACTTCTAATAGTTGTATACTGTGTCAGTGTAATCTTTTATAATATCGAAACACCTTGCTGATAAACAAGTGTATGTTCTGTAGATAAAAACTCAAAGGTTTTGAAGTGGAATAAGAGACTTCAAGTTGCAATTGATACAGCAAAAGGTAACAAAACTACTATATTATTTATCTATGACTCCTTATTAATAGGCTTTATTATATTTACCTTTTTCTTATATAATAATCTGGTTGGAGAGTTGCAGGACTAGAATATCTTCATACTGGTTGCAGCACTCCTATAATCCATAGAGACTTGAAACCATCCAACATTTTATTAAATAAATCCATGGTAGCAAAAATTGCTGATTTTGGACTATCTAGAGCATTTATAAATGAAGGAGATACTCATCTATTAACTCAATCAGCTAGCACTCCTGGTTATATTGATCTTGAGTAAGTGTTCTCGACATGTCAATGTAAAAAAAAAAAATCCAAGAATATTTGCTCAATAACTACAAAAGACAACATAATTTTTTGTTTCATTTCATTTATAACTGATCTATTACGTTTACCCTACTTATCCTTTGCAGATTTCAAATATCTGGACAACTTAACAAGAAAAGTGATGTTTATAGTTTTGGAATGATTCTTCTTCAACTAATAACCGGTCATCCTCCAATAAAGAGAGGACCTGAGAATATTATTAGATTTATTCTTGATTGGATTCAACCTAAAATTGAATGTGGGAATATTGAAGGCATTGTTGATCCAAGATTAGCTGGAGAATTCCATGTAATTAGTTCAACATGGAAAGTTATTGAAGTGGCAATGTCATCTGTGTTACCAATGCCATCCCAAAGACCAGATATAAGTTAGATATTGCAAGAACTACAGGAATGTTTAGCCTTGGAGACGGAACATACGAGAATAGAAAACCCTATGCCAAGGAGTTCATGTGTTTGTTCTGTGAACAGTGAGGTGATCACTATTATTTCTGCTAGGTAGTCTGTATAAACTACAAGCTTGATTGGATTCAACCTAATATTTTGCTTTCGAACTACATGAATTTTTAGCTTTGGAGATCTAAACAAGACTTGTGTTGTGTTAAACAAAGACAATAAAGCTCCATATGCTTGCATGGTTAATTTGAAGGATCATTATATATATTGTGTTTAATTTCTTGATGTATTGCTTCTTTCTTTACTAATTGTTTATCACTTTTCAGCTAACTAATTGCAGTTTGACTTAGCCAATTGATATTTCTTGTTGACAGAATTTTGTTGAGTTTCCCACAACAAAAATAAATCTACAAGATCTATTAACAACTGAGTTTGTCATTTTGCCGTCCTCAATTATCAATAGATCTTGTGATATATAATAGTGTTGTGGAGGACTTGGTTTTAATTCTCTCGTTATTATATTACTACTTTGAACTAGATTTAACTTTAAGCAAAGAAACCAATACTACTATGCTATAAAGGTTAGTAAAAAGAAATTTTTATATCTTCCAAAATTAATCAATGGTGTCGGTGGTTAATAATTGGGGCTTTAAAATCTCAGCTCTTACCCATGGAATAAATCTAATTCGATTGGGATATACTTTATATCCTTACGCTGAAAGAAATTAGTTTTTACTATAGATAGGTAGTATTCTCAAGGGAAAATTATGTATGAGTCTCGTGAAGTAAATTTATTTATAATAAGTCTTGCAAAATTTTAAAACTAGAGTTAAGTCCTGTGAGACCCTAATGCAATTTTAAATTTGAGTATAAAGATAATAATACCCCAATTAAAAATATATTACATCAATCATATAATTTATAATTACTTCATCATTAATTTATAACTATCACTTCATTTGATTTTTTTACAACTGTAAATTCACATATTTAGTAGTTAAACTAAGGTCAATATTGTCCTTTGTACTATAATTTCAAATTACACTAAGATCTCAAGAAATTTAATTGTGATTTTTAAATTTCGCTAAACTTGTTTATAAATAAGTTTGTTCCATGATACCTATATATAATTTTTTCTATTATTAATCAGCAATATATGCACACATCATTCATGCATGGTTGATTTGGTCCAAGAAACGATGAAATCCTTTGTGACTCTTAGAATGTTATGGTTCTCGGTTACCACAAGTGTTGACATCAAATGCGATTTTGACATTTATGTAGAACGATTCATTTATAGGTCTGCGTACATGTCTATCTATATAAATAGGAAAGAGGGTGAAATTCTTAATTTTAATTAAAAAAGGAACTAATATTCGCTTAGGAATTACAACAAATTCAAGTTACAAGGCAAATTCTCTTCATCATCCACCATCTTTCTATTCCAAGATAGTTCTCATTGTTTTTAAAAAAGATATGTTCTTGCTAATTTATAAAACTGAAACAATAAGAAACATTTTTCTATCTATATTAGCTCATAAAGTGATATCAGGAGCCAAAAAAATAAATATTCCATTTCATTATATACATTTGGGAGAATGACAAATAAATCTCTCCAAATTAGGAAAATGACAATTTGATTTCGTAAAATATGATAATGCCTTCTAAGTCTCAAAGGACCTAATTGTCATTAAGTTTTTGTTGAAATAGCACAAATACCTCTTAATTTAGAAAATGAAGAAAAATGGTGAGAGAAAGTTGTAAATACTTAAATCACTTTAGTCATTTAATAAAATAGACTTTTGAATTCCAAAATCAAAGTTGTGAAAAAAAATAGTTTTTTGCACTTTGCTGATTGAATAAACATGGTGAGAGAAAGTTGTGAGTGTCTAACCCACTTTAGTCATTTATTAAATCAGAGTTACAAAAAAAAAATCTTTGTTACACTTTGCTGGTTAAAGAAAAATGGTGAGAGAAAGTTGTGTTTGTCATTTCATCAAAAACTTAAATGACAATTAGGTCTCTTGAGAATTAAAAGGCATTATCACATTTTGCGGGATTAAATTATAATTTCTCTATTTTGGAGGAATTTATTTGTCATTCTCCCTACACATTTTAAAATAACTCATAAATATAATAATGATTAAAATAAAAAATTTCTTTCCATATATAATAAATTTCCAAATAATGTTTGTTCAAAAAAACTTTAAATAATGAAATGTTTGGTTTGTTAACTCCATAGCCCTTTGTATTCTATCCCATTATCATCTCATTCTATCATATTTTGAACTCTCACATGCCTCTTTAGGGGGTGGCTATATTCCCAAACTGTAAAACTCCATCTTGCTATTATATGGATATTAATTATTTTTTAAAAACAATTGCAGGGACAAATACGAAGAAGGTCAAACAAATTATTTCATTAAAAATAAGATTATATATATACACACGAAATAATAATTGTACTAAAATACTTGTTTTAAAAATAGTGAAATTATATGCCCAAAATAATACTAAATATTTGCCACTTGCTCCAGTGATTATAAATTTATAAGTAATTAAGTATGAGACAGAGAGTACCTGGAAAGATTAAGGAACCTTGCCATTAAAAAAAAAAAAATCTACTTTAGATATTATTTGACATCAGCTTCCCTGACGTCTGATGTTGATACTTCTATTATTTACAATGTACTGAATTACTTCGTCAAAGTCATTGTGGCTTGACTTTTTAAGTTTTGTAGATATATACGCTTAAAATAAAAAAGGTTTTTCTACCCAAATATCAATTTAATTAGTGGAAGTTAGTTTACTGGTATACTTACCGGTTACAATTTCATTTCTTTGTTCTTGTGCATATTAGAGTTTATAAAATAATGTCTTATTATTAATTTAAACATAAACAATACACAAAAATACTATCTTTAGGCCTGGTTATATGAAACAAATGATAATTAACATTTACTTATAAATGTTAACTATCCTTCGTTAACTATCTTTAATTTGTTTCTTACAAATAGACATGTAAATGAAGGTTGGTCTAGTTGGCTAGTATATAATATAACATAGAATAAAACTTATACATTTAGTCTTCTATACTTAATATACTTATATCCAATCAAATCATAACAATTGGATCTTAATATGTTAATAAAATTAATAAAAAAATTTATTATAAAATAAATAATTTATAAAAAGACCTACAAGTCTTAATTTAATTAAAAATAAGTATATTAAGCATACAAAGTTAAGTATATAAGTTTTTTCCTATAATATATAACCTATATGCTATATCTTATAAGGACATGCACAAAATTTCATTAATAAATGATGCACGCAAAAATGTATAACCGTAGGTGTACAGGTTGATAAGTGATAAACTAGTGCATCAAGGTCAGTTCCACGAAGAATCAAGCAAAATAACAATTAGACAATAAAGTTTTCATTTTTAGTTTACGTTAAGCAAAACTAATTGAAATTGATTAATTAACCAAAATTAAAATTGAATTTAATAAAGACTCAACAAAATACTTAAATCCAACAATCACTTGAAGTAAAGAGCAAGCTAGAGTCACTAATCCCCATTAATGTCTTAGACTTTATTTTAACCCAATTAATTAATTTCAAAGTCAATTTTGTTAATAGAGAGATTTAATAGCTATGAGGGGTCTTTCAATCCACTAACAACCCTCTCTTGAATTAATTATGTTATTCTAACACAATTGTTCAAGAGGAAACTCAACCAAGAACACTCTACAATGATTAGATAGGGCAATTAGGTATATGTCTATCTTAATTATAAATTAGATAAAATCTAATCCCATATTACTCAATTCAATAGTCTATAAGAGATTTCCCTTTGTCAAGAAAAAATCCCAACACCCAAAATCACATTTAATGTTGGTCAAGCATTAAATAGATATTAAAGCACAAGATTAAGAAATTAAAATTAACATTAAGCATAACTAATGGATAAAAACGAGTCTAATCCATCAATAGGTTTATAGTTCCTCTAAATCTAAGAGATTTAGCCATACATAAGTTTGGAAATTGCAAAACTAAATAGAGAATATATCAAAATGAAGAAAAGGAGAAAAAAAGCTTAATCAAAGTGATTTTGGACAAAAATCACTAATTTCCCATAAAACCCAAGCTTCTCCACCTCATCCATGGTTCCTGGTTAGTTTGGAGCTGCTAGAGACGAGAAAGATGAAGAATACTAATAAAAAACGTTCAAAACCTTAAAATATCTATTTTTTATGAAGCTATGCATTTCAATAATTGATACTTATGCTGCAACATAATCAGGTTATGCTACAACGTAAATCCCATCGTCACTGCCAGTGTCACTGAATTATGCTATAATATAATTCTGATATGCTGTAACATAAATCTTTTCTTTTCTTTTTCTTCAATCTTTACTTACATATAGCACTTCAAATTTTAATGTGGATTGCCTTACACACAATATAACACCATTAATGTAATTTTAGCTCAAGTAATCCATTCATTTCAACAAGACACTACCAATTCTCTCTTCTCATATTCAAACACTTTTCTTTCATTTTTGTCAAATATATACTAGTCTCATTTTCTCTCAAAATTACTTGATGACTCCAAATTGAACCCAGAATTTCCTAATAACAAAAGAAAATATTTGGAGTCATCAATAAACCATCTCTAGGTATTGACGTAAGTGTCTCATAAATCATGAAATATTGCTCTAAGTCTCTAGGATCAACTCATAAATTTTTTATATGAAATTATTAAGAGTTAAAGAATAAATTTATCTTGAATATTAGATTCAGTGTATGGTGAAGTGGATATCACATATGGCCATGCCACCTAAACATGGTAAGATATTAACTAGCGGTTAGATAGTTGGATAACATAAGGTGACATTATATTCTATTATTTTGAGACAACATTGTATTAAAAAAATATTTTAAGATACTAATTGAGGATACGTGAAACTTCAGGGATCAATTTTACATTGACTCAAATATTAATAGTACTAAAATATTTGCCACTTGCAGAGGCGATCAATGTGAGATCAAGGAGTCTTTAATTTCTAATGTCCCACAAAAAAAAAAAAGAGTAAATTCTAGCTACTTCAGGGTGATGTAACCAAACTATTATTATTTGTAAAAATACATCGACTTTAAATATTTGACACATCAGCTTCCTTAACGTCTGATGTTGAAACTTCCATTTACTCGGATTATTTTAACAAAGTCCATTTCATTGTCGATCCTTAATTATTGCATTTATAACTATATATTTCACTGTTTATTGAATTCCCTCCAAATTCTTGAATATCTGTACTGTTAGAAAAATACTGGTAAAACACATTTCAACTCCAGTATCTTAGGTCTTTAATTCAGACTATAATCCGATCTGCCGTTTGCAGGCACTTCTTTAGGAGGCATATACCTCTCATGCATCGAGAATTTAATCATTGTTATATAGATAGAATCTGAATTTAAGATTTCTGGTTAAACTAGATCAACCGCCTAACTATTGATCCAAATGTTCAGCGGTAACATCGGACTGTATTAAAATGAGAAAGTCACATTACATAGTGTCTGACCCATTCTTATATAGACCCACGGTATACAATTAACCTGAATACAACCTGCACGAGAATCTCAAGATCATTGATATATACTTAATCTTCTACGGATACTATTTCTTTTAAGTTAATTCATTTCTTTTACCCCATGCACATCTGGGGAGAAAACACTCAATTCTTTTTTTTTAAATATTCATAGTCAAACCATGCATGCCGGCCTTTTACGTAGTATTTATTTACGCCCACACCATTTTCCCTGCTTGTGAGAGAAGTGCAAATCATTTAGGCCAATTCATTTCTCTTTTCATGATCGTCGCCTAAACTTGAAAACATGAAGAGCCCGATACTCTGGATTCTGGCTTTGTATGTGTTGGTTTCCTTCATTATTACTACTCACTCAGCACAAGTTGTTGCAGATGTTGGTAACTCAGGTAATTAAGCATTTACCTACCCTTTAAAATTTTCTTTTACACACAGAAAAACTTCTGAAAAATATATGCTGCAAATGACTTACGCTGCAAAGTGGATTGGGTTATGCATGATAATCGCTGTAACTTTTTTATCGCTTGTAACTTATACTTGGGCAAATGTTAAACTTTAGGAATAGAGTTAAAAGTACAAGGATTAATGTTATTTAATGATATAAAAAAGCCATAGCGACAAAAAGATTGATTTTGTGTGTGTGTGTGTGGTGGGGAGGAAGATATGTGCTATAAACACAAAATATGAGTATTGGAAAAAAAATATAATTGAGTACTTAAAATATAGAAGATGAGTACCAAATAAATGAACTAAAAAATAATTTCAACCAGACATCATTTTTTAATTGAAAAAATTCATGGTTTTTATTTGTGGTTAATATCCTTAAAGGGTCTTTGTATGTTATTTATTAACCCCATAATTTTAGTATAAAGAGAACTTGTCCTTTTATTTATTTATTTATTTATTTATTTTGGAAGGGATGACCTGCTTATAGTTTTTGGTTAGAAGGCCGATTTAGAGTGGCTAGGTGATGGTTCAAGGAAGGGAGGATTTTAGACTCTGTTTAGAAAGATGGTGCTATTTTTAAGGGCAATAGAAAACTAGAAAAGGAGGGGCAGATGAAGAGGGCCGAAGGCTTTTTTTTTTTTTTTTTTTTGGGGGGGGGACATAATTTCTCTCCCTTTTTTTTTACTAATTAAAAATATTTTCAACCGATGAGTAAAAATATTAACTTTATTTTGGGAAGATGACAATAAAATTCCAATGAAATATATAAATGGCAATCAAATCTCTCAAAATGTTATAATTCCTCTCAAATTTTTGGGTTTGTTTTTGAAATTAATGATTTTATATTAAATGATTAAATTGCCCCATGTTTAAAATAATCAGTCACAAATTTTATTTAAACAATTACAACTTTTATTTTGAATTACAAAAATTAAACAAGAAATCACAACTTTTCATGTGAAATTTCTTTTATCATTAAAGTTCAACTTTTGAAAATAACTAGTCACAATTTTTATTTAAACAATCACAACTTGTATTCTATAAATCACAAATATCAAATAAGAAATTACAACTTCCCACATGAAATTTTTTTATTATTAAACAAGGGAAAATTTAGTCATTTAATCTAAAATTATTAATGTTAAAAAGATATACAAGAACTATTTGAGAGGAATTATGACATTTCAAGGGAACTGATTATTATTTTCCCATTTATTTTCCATTAGACGTTTGGTGAAGAGAAATTACGAAAGCAAAGTTTTTTTTTTTTTTTTGGCTATGATATCCTAGATATTTAACGTAGACTAATCTAGTCAATAGCTTGCTAGTATTTTTTTAGGGATATACCTTCCATCGAGAATTTAATTGCTGCTGGATATCTAGAACTCAAACTCATAACTTTTAGTTAACTTGGATGAACTTGATCAATTCCCTAACTAGTTGATCTAAGCGCTGGATGGTACAGGAAGGAGTTAAAGTCATCAAATGATAAACAATCTTACTAAAATATTGAAGTTAAATCTTTAAAATCATGGGTTAATTACTATTTTAATATAAAATAGAAAATTAGCCTTGAAATTATAGATTCAGGAACGTCTTGCACTCTAAACTCATTTTTGATGTAATACTTCCCTTCAACTTTTTAAAAACGGTGCAATATATCCTCTACCATTAACAAAATTAGTTAACTTTAATTATTATTTGACTAAAAAATGATAAAATGACCCCAAAAATTACATAAACTAACCAAAAAAAATTATAATAAAGGATCAAAAAATTACAAAAAATGATCACTAAAATTTATTGATCCTTTTTAAAATAATTTTTTAGATCATTTTCTATTATTTTCTAATTAACTAATGGTCAAAGTTAATTATTGCTAACTATAGAGGCTAGATTGCATTATTTGAAAAGAAACATTGCATCAAAAATGAGTTTAGGAACTCAAATGCTTTTAGATTTATAGTTTATGAGCCAATTTACTCTTTTATTCATATTTTTTAGATAAATGGGAATTAAAATATTTGTATAAATTATTAGTTATTTTTATAAATTAAAAAATAAAATGTTTTAGATCTAGAAAGGACAAATTAGTGAAAATGTTATATAATTCATGGTAAAATTAGATGAATTTTTTATTCTATGGTAGAAAACATATTTCCTTAAAATAAGGCATGTGTGAAGATTAGACACTCTAGGGATAATGACAAATAAATTACACCAAAATAGGAAAATGACAAAAGAATATTATGAAATAGGATAATTACATTGTATAGTTGATCCTCTGCAAAGTAATTGAAAACATAGTTATTAAGAATATAAATTGAAGTTATCAATAACGAAGATAAAGTTATTAGTATAAGAAACATAGCTAAACTGAAGTTGTTAAGGGAGGAAGTGTACTTATTATCACATAACTAAACTAACAATTACGCCTCCTGTATCAACAATTTTGTCTTTGTTATTGATTAACAATTTTAATTTAAGTTTTAACACTATTATTTTACAGAGGGTGATGAGAAATGTAATTTTGCAAAAAATTATTTCAGATAAGTCTTTAGAGTTAGACTTTAGAATAATGACTTCATTTATTGGTACTCTTTAATTTTATCATTTTCCTATTTGAGTGGGATTTATTTGTCATTCTCTCTTTATTCTATGGCCAAACATATCAACAATATTTATATCCTCTTCAACTTAGCTTCTTGATACTGTTTAATATGTCTGTGTGAAGGTCAATTAAATTAGACATATGAGGCTTCATTTCATATATATGGCATGTGGGAAAAAATAAAATAAGGAATAAGACATAAATAAATAAATATGCAGGTTTCATAAGCATAGACTGTGGAGCAAGCAAAGATTACGTTGATGAAGAAACAGGGATTTGGTACGAGACAGATGAAGGCTTCATAGAAACTGGAACCAATCATGAAGTGTCCCCCAGTTTTGCAATCTCCAATTTTCCATACCTACAACGACAGCTAAACACGCTAAGAAGTTTCCCTCAGGGAAAAAGAAACTGTTATACTTTGAAACCAAAACAAGAGGATGATGAGAATCACAAGTACAGGTACATTATCAGAGTTATGTTTGCATATCAAAATTATGACTACAAAAACGACATACCCAAGTTCGATCTCTACTTAGGGGTTAGTTTTTGGCAGACAGTTCGATTGCCTTCGACAAATTCTTTCCACTATTATGAATTAACAATCCCACAGCTTACCAATGGCATGGTACAAGTGTGTCTTGTAGAAACCGGAGAAGGCATACCTTTCATTAACACTTTGGAATTAAGACCACTGAACAACTCTCTCTATTCCTCTCCATTTCCCTTGTCTCCCCAAAGGACAGATTGTGGCTACGGGCCTGCTATTGATAGGTTCAGGTACGAAGACGATGTGTACGATCGCTTGTGGCCAAGATATGACTATAAGGATCCCATTTGGGATGTCTTGAGAACTACAGGTGCACAAGTCAGAATAGAAAACTCCACTTATAAGCTACCATCAGAAGTATTACTCACAGCATGTCAACCCCAGAACAATTCCAATCTCTTAACTGCAAATTGGAGTTTTAATGTAGCCAGACAATATTATTTGTACCTTCATTTCGCTGAAATCCAAAAGCTTCCTTCTGGCAAAAAGAGGATTATCAATGTCACTTTTGATGATGAAAATTCGCCCTCTCAGGAACTTGCTCTTGAATACTTGAAACCAGTAACCCTAATTTCCAACTTGATAAGTAGTAGGAGTTATGTTAGCTTCACAGTCAGAGCAACGGTTGATTCTTATGCTCCTCCTATCCTCAATGCCTTTGAGATTCTTAATGTCTTCCCACTGCCAAACTCCCCTACAGATGCACGAGACGGTATTGCTTTTATATATTTTCATCTTTTCGTTCAATCTGCAATAATATTCATAAAATTAGTTGTCCTATGATATATTGAAAATTATACATGCAGTTAATGCCATCATGAGAATCAAGCTTACTTATGGCATCTCAAAAATTAGTTGGCAAGGCGACCCATGCGTGCCATCTGCCTTTGCATGGGAAGGTGTGAATTGTAGCTCTGGCAACAATACAAGAATCGTTTCACTGTAAGTAGTACTACGCTACTGCTTTTATTTATATTTTCTTACACTTCATTACCACATACTCCCTCCCTCCCTATATATAAAGTATTTTTTAGAAGCTTATTTGTCTTTAAATATAAGGAGTGACAATGATATTTTTGAGTAATTAGACAATTTTATCCTTGTCTTGAAAAATGAAATAGATCATTAATTGTATGTTTCCCCTATCACCATCATGATATTAATTATCATATTATTAGGAGTAAAATTAAAAAAATCATTGTGTTTTTATGTGAATTCAACTAAATAACAAACTTTTATTGGTATGCGGGATTTAATTAAAAATACTTTATATATAAGGATAAAGGGAGTAATTCCAAATATTTAACAGTTATTTTCTCTTATATTTAACGATTAACAACTATCAAATATGCTTCAGTTATTTATTGAGTTAACCAATGTTTGATGGTTATATAATGATCAAATATTCTGCTCTATATTTGACGGGTATTGAAAATAACTGTCAAATACGACGGGGAGGGAAATTAGAGTTGTTAATGCTAAACTTATGCCAGCAAATTAAGAATAATCAAGAAGAAAGAGCAAAAGAATGATAATTCATCCAACAATTTCACACACATAACTGAAGAAATTATAAACACCTAAAGAAATTAAGCAAATTCACTTATTCCAGCAGACAAGAAGCAAAGATAGAGAATAGGTTTTACCGGAAATTAGATTCTGAAGGAGGAAAATAGGATTTGGGGGTGGTTGGAGACGGAGTGGGTGTGAAAATGGGAAGAGGCTCTTCAGAATGGCATCGTGTTCGTGAAAACTGGTGAACAGCGCGCATGAACAACCTAGGGCACGAGGAAATTTAGGCGAATGATTCGAAATAGGAGAAGAATGGTTTGATTTCGAATGAAATGGGGGAAGAAAGGCTGGATCGAAGAAGAAATTGCAGAGGAGGACTGCGTTCGGCGTGAAGCAATGTGTCTGTGAACTGAGGAATTTAATTTTTAAAGCACTGAATTTGATTAGTTGTATAGGTTAAAAGTTTGATGGTTAAATGATTAACCGTAAAATATGTTGAAAACTTTATTTGACGGTTAAAGTTCACCACCACCAAACTTAAACAAATAATTTTCTGGAAATATAAATTTACAATTTTTAACTCTTAAGTTAGACGGTTCTCCTATGGAACCATTGAATATTTGTAGACATATAGTTAACAATTAATTATTTAACCATCAAATATTTACTTCCCCATTCCCCATCTCCCCTTATCCAACGTTTTTGCATGTAACTGCGGATATACATGTATCAAATATTTTAAAATATATTGGTGTGCATGAATAATAACTTGAATAACAATTCTTACTTACTAACAGTTGAAGAGTACAGTAAAATGCCTGAATTTAAGATGTAGTGATCATATATAGTGTGTGTGTGAGGATTCTATATATATTCACAGCATCTCAAAATCTTGCATTGATTTGTTAATATATCTCAGTCAGATATTTCAGCCTAATAAGCTAGATATATAGATTCCCTTTTGTTTCTCTCCTATGATTGTTTTCACTATTGTGGCAAACATTTGTTCTACGAATTGTAGGAACCTGAGCTCAAGCAAACTAACAAGAGCAATAGTTAAGTCGTTCGCCGATTTGGAAAAATTGGAGTCCTTGTAAGTTGTCACTTAAGATAAGCTCTATGAACATTCACATACTAAGAGAAACATTGAACTTTTGGTTAGATATTGTGAGCATTAATACTAATTAACCTATTGTTCAAAGGGATTTGTCGAATAACGAATTGACAGGAGAATTACCAGAATTTCTTGCAAGTCTTCCTAATTTGAAATTCATGTAAGATTTTAATCTATTGACATTGCAAGTTTCATGCTTGAATTATGAAGTTATGTGTTTCAAAATCCCATATATACATATAATTTGTTTTACCATCTTGCAGTAATGTGACTGGAAACAAGCTCACCGGTCCGATTCCGACGGCTTTAAAGGAAAATGCTAAATTGAATATCAGGTTTACTTGTCTTCAATATCAAATTCAGATTAATTCAAGTTTTGAGGTCAAATGGGGAAAAAAAAATTGTCCTGATTACCGTTCATTTATTGCTACCAAAAAAAAGTACAAAAACGTTCTGATCAAAGCGCTTATGAAGGAAACAGTCTTAAAAGTAGAGGGGTGTGTGTGTGTGTGTGATTCATTTACCTGCAATATATGTGAAAATACAATGTGTGCAAGACATGTTACTTGGAAATTCATTTGCTCGACTTAACTTCCTTTTTCGATTCTACCAGTGCGGCCAACAATCCAGGCCTTTGTGAGAGAGATTCATGTGACCAAGAAAAAAAGTTTGTAATTCCTCTTACTACATCAATTGGAGTTTTAGTCCTTATAGCCATTCTTTCTTCGATGATTTGGAGACTCAGAAGAGACACAAGACAAGGTATCTAATTTTATATCTGTTGTCCTTTCACTGGGAATATGATAGTCATTCTTTCAAAACACTTTGTGTTATGCAATTCCAGCATGCTTTCCCAAGAACATGGAAACTTTTCATCTGTGTTTATTCTATTCCACATCGTATAACCTTTCAGACATGAGATAGTACTCATGCTGAGAAATTCTTGACCTAGCAAAATAATATCTTGACTCAAGCTATATTTTACTTCATTATGAAGTTTTAAAACATTTGATATAATATGATGCAGATCTGTCAACAGAATCCCCGAAAATGGAAATTCTAAAACAAAAGAATCGAGAGTTCTCTTACTCACAAGTTCTTGATATCACCGACAATCTCAAAACACTTATTGGCGAAGGAGGGTTTGGGAAAGTTTACCTTGGTACTTTGGAAGATGGTTCTCAAGTTGCAGTCAAATTACTTTCTCCCTCATCAAAGCAAGGATACAAGGAATTTCAATCTGAGGTTAGACATGAAAGTCATATATATCCTGATTTTCAAAGCTTCATATATACGTGCACATACAAACATATATGAAAATTGGGTATGAGATCAATCTTCTTTAGTTATGATGGAGCAAACTCTTGATTTTTGCAGGCTCAACTCCTAGCGGTTATTCATCATAGAAACTTAGTTTCACTTGTTGGGTATTGTTATGAGAACAACATAAAGGCATTGATTTATGAATATGTGGATAATGGGGACCTTCGCCAACTCTTAGGTATGCCATATCTTGTGCTTAAAACTTTTCAATATCATTGATAGTGAATTTTTCTTGTGGTTTTCATGTTCACATAGAATTATATGGTTAGTAAAAACTCCTTTATCGAACACAAAAGGAAGATATAGTACATATGTATTTGGACTCAAACTACTCATTCAGTTGGTCAGTTGATCTTGTTTATCAAACACTTTTAGTAGTTGTATGATTATATGTAATTTTATATTGAAATACCTTGTTAAGAGACCTGTGTATGTTTTTCAGAGAAGAACTCAAATGTTTTGAAGTGGAATCAGAGACTTCAAGTTGCAATTGACACTGCAAAAGGTGACAAATTAAAATATTATACTATTGATGTATCTTGCTTAATTTTATATATATATATATATATATATATTAGTTATTTTTCTATCTTAAATAATAATTTAGTGGAGGTGGATGCAGGATTGGAATATCTTCATACTGGTTGCCATACTCCTATAATTCATAGAGACTTGAAGCCGTCCAACATTTTATTAAATAAATTTATGGTAGCCAAGATTGCTGATTTTGGACTATCCAGAGCCTTTACAAACGAAGGAGATTCCTATCTATCAACTCAACCTGCTGGTACTCTGGGTTATATTGATCCTGAGTAAGTTTGTTTCTATCATGTCAATTAAAACCATTAACAATATTTTCTCAATAACTACAAAAGACAAAATAATGTTTAGTTTCAATTCATTTACAAGTAATATTTTAAAACCAATATATTATACTGGCTAAATAAATCTAATTAACCTACTTAATTGCTTTCTCTTATGCAGATTCCAAAGATCTGGACAACTAAATAAGGAAAGTGATATTTATAGTTTTGGAATGATTCTTCTTCAGCTAATAACTGGCCGTCCTCCGATAAAGAGATCAGGTCCTAGGACTAATACTTTCATTCTTGATTGGATTCAACCTAAAATTGAATGTGGAGATATTCAAGGCATTGTTGATCCAAGACTAGCTAGAGAATTCTATGTTACATCAACCTCGAAAGCTATTGAAGTAGCAATGTCATGTGTCCTACCAACACCATCCCAAAGGCCAGAAATAAGTTATATATTGCAAGAACTACAAGAATGTTTAGCTTTGGAGATGGATCATACAAGAATAGATAACACTATTTGAAGTAGCAATTCACTTGATTATAGTGTGAATAATGAATCAATGACTACTCTCTCTGTTAGGTAGTCACACTTTTTCTACTAAACAATACCAAACTTAAGCTTGTGCATTATCTAGTGGGATAAGGCATGAGCCTTGTGAAGAGAGGCAAGAGGAAAACCATAGAGAAACATTCATAATTGTTGAACAAAACTTCTTGATTATCACAACGGCATCATGCAATCCATGTAGCCAAGTAGTCAAATAAAACTTCTTGTCGATGTTGTATGCTTGTATATTGCACATTATATACAAAACTCTCCTCTTTGAATGATTATGATCAAAAGATAGGCTACCCTTGATTACAAGTTTTTTGAAGCCTTTTAACACAATTTTGAGACTCATTTGAAGTAGTTAAGAGGAAGCTCGGATGACGCATGAGATTTGGATCTGAATCATGACCCCTCGGTGCTCATGAACGAAGAAGACAGAACGACAATGGAGAATGCATAGTGCTTTGGCATGGTTCTTTAGAGACGGCGTGGATTGTGGCGTTGACGGTGTTGACTTCAACGAGATAAGGGAGAGGAAGGGAGAGATGATGATTTTTATTTTTATTTTTGGGAGGGGGGCTGTCAAAAGATAGCTGATTGTGGGGTTCATTTCCTTTTTAAAAAAAAAAATTTATTGCATATGGAAGCGCTCCACTATGTCAATTGTCCTGTAGGCTATTGTTTTATTTTATAAATTCATTTTTTTATATTTTTAACTGAGTTCTATGGGACTGCTTACCAGAAAGCGCTCCATTAGACTTATTATTTTTTATTTGTTTACTTTTTTTTTTAATCCTACAGAAATGCTTTTACTTAGCATAAGTGCTCTCATAAACTTATTAATTTGTTTTAATCTCTTTAGAAGTGCTTATATGAATAAGCGCTTCTGTATGATGTAGTTTTCATAGTGCTGTCACTGACTAGCGCTCCAAAAGGTTTTGTATTATGTTTTCAGAACACTTTTACTAAAGCACTCCAAAATGAATGTTCCATAAACATATTTTGTAGTAGTTAATAAAAGGCATATGAAATGGGGGATTACAGGACTGAGAAGTTCGTAAATGTAAATTCATATATCTAATCTTTTAAAATTATCGATGTTATTACTGTTTTATATTAAATATGTCCACACAAAAAATTTCTTGCTGTAAATGCTATATAGAGAGAGAATCACAATACACCATACAAACCCATATCAATCAAATATCAATGATCATTGCGGAGCCACACTTGCTTGAGGGGTGCATTATTTGGGGGAAATTATAAGTGGGGTGTGTAAATTTTGCACTACTTACTCTTAATATTTCGCTCTTTTTAAACGAAATAAAAAACAATTGGGTTTAAAAACTCAATAAATATATAATATTTTAATGATCTAAATAAAATATAAAAAGTATATGTACAATAATAGACCATATCAACCTATTCAATATATTTTTTTAAAATAAAAATGATGATGAATCTATTAATGTAACTACAATTTTAGTTTTAGGACAATTATTATTTTAAAAAATATTAAATTAATTTGCACCCCTGGCTCCAGCACTCCACCATCGTCAGGGATGAGAACTCATTAAAACAGAAATTCATAAAAAGTTTCCCACGTTTCTAATGCATAAATATATAATTTCACTTAACAAATAGTCCATGGAGTCCCAAATTTGACCTCAAAAATAATAATCATGCATAATTTTATATTCCTAGTGTTTTATTAATTTATAATAGAAAACATATAATATTTGATCTCCATAGTTTCATTGGGTTTTACTTTTAGTCCCTGTAGTTTTTTTCAGTGTTTTTAGTCCCTATAGGGACCAAAACTACTGAAAAAATGAAAACTATAGGAATTTAAAAAATAAAGATCACCCAATCTTTCTAAAATTATAGGAACTAAAAACACTAAAAAAAATTATAGGAATTAAAAATAAAACCTGATAAAACTATCAGGATCAAAAATTATGTTTTTCCTTTATAATATTATAATGTGTGTGTGTAACAACTTTTTTTTTTTTTTGCTATGCATATAATAAATATTAATGCACAAGATGTACCTAACTCTAATCCTCCTAGATTTTGCATCAAGACAGATGATACTGCAGGGTCTAAAGCATTTATGTTGATCTTAGATTTCATTGGATTTATATATGTACTGTTTGTCTTCATGAGTTTGTGTTGATCTTTAGAAATGTGTTTTTGTAGCTTATTTTGTGGAGATTTTCTTATGCTTCATGGTTTATGAATTCATTAATCTTGTAGTTAATTGGAAGCTTATCTGGAACAAATTTAGAAAGCTTATTGATGAATGATGAGAAAGGACTTGGTAACAAATTTAGGCCAACTCACTGAATACAAATATAGAAGTACTTAAATTAGCTCTCCAAGTACCTGTCACATGATATTGTGGGTATGTGTGTGATTTTATGCTTTGATTTAATATTAAATTATAATTAATCATTTTATATTTTAAATAATAAAATAGAATGGTTTCTTTATAAACTTTTAAAAAAAAGGAGAAAATCACTCTCAAGTCTCACACACACAAAAAAATTAATTCAAAATGGTCTTATAAAATTATTTTGAAGTCTCATTTTCACTTAAGTTGCTAATTAGTGCTAGATATCATTAATGCTTAGTAATCTATTTTGAAGTCTCGTGTTTTTCACTGAAGTTGCTAATTAGTGCTAGATATCATTAATGCTTAGTAATCAACGGCACAGCTCCATTAACAATTTCTAATCATTGATTGACAACTTTAATATGATAAATTAATATCTTTTTATAAATGACATGAGACTTCGAGTTCAAAGTAATTTTGTAACTTGTCAAGTCACTCAAATTGACTCGTGAGTTTGGCAATGATATTTTAAAATGATTTTATGATACTTCTTGTATTTAAATTTCTTATGTAAGACTTAAGAATGATTTTTTAAAAAAATTATACTTCAAAGCATATACTTTAGTTCGATTTCTAACCTTATTAAGAATATTCTATTAGAGACTCACTCTTATCCTTTTACTTTCTACTTAGCATTACGCTTTAAAATCTTTTAAAAAAAACATGGCTTTGCAATAACATGCAAATTCAGATTCTCTAAATTTATTTTTGTCATAATGGCTCAATTTTAAGCTTTGATTGTTAAATCAACATCCAGGGCATTAACAAATTCATTAAATAAAACTCAGTTTTGGATAATATTTTTTCCCCAGTGATCAAGTTGGACTTTGAATTCTCGTACTCATAGTATACCAACATTCTTTTTCTCATATTATTATTATTATTACCGCAACGCATGCTTCTTCTTTTATGTAGCTATCTATCTAAGTCGGATTTATATTAAAGCCCCAAAAAAAAAAAAACATTTAAAATTTGCCTTATGTCAAGGACTAGAGAGAGTATATAATATTAATCACTTTTCTTATGTTTTTGTTTTTTTTTGTTTTTAAAAAGTAGAGAGAAAAACTGTTGAAACATTTATATATGGATTCACATTAATTAATAAACCCAAACAGATTGGTCATTATGATCTTGTATGAAATGTAATAAGTGAACCACACAAGTGAGCCCAAACGGACAGAGGCCCAACTTACAATCCTATAACTGTCAGTTATTCCCTATCTTTTAACTGACTGAATCAAAGATAATAGAATATAATTTATTTATTATAACGATTACTGATCTGGTCCATATAAATTGATCAGTCGATAACTACGCGATAGTTTTCACTTACTCCATTATCTCTGAACTATCTGCAAACTATAGGGGTTCAATGGGTTGTGCATTTATCTATACTCAAGGTAATCAAAGTATCTTAAGTAATCACGGATTCTTCAGATACATACACATTATTTTACTCAATCTTATTTGATATATGAATTGAGATATAAAGTTAACATGTGACATCAAAGCCAAGTTATGAATATTAATTTATATATATATATATATCTCAATTATGTTTATGTGTATAAAATATATAAATAGAAATTCATGCGTTGGATATTATGCTTCAGTTTCTTACTCTTCTCTTATTATTGGATTTGAGAATTTTTTAAATCCTGTTACGTATGTGAAGAAACCGTGTAGCATAATCCTTCGATTAGTTTATGTATGTGAATCTATTTATCTATGAATTTCTATCGTTCTCTCCTCCTTCCCTACATCTTCTCCGTGGTCGCTGACGAAGATGGCATCTTTGTGTTCACTGGGAAGTTGCGGAAACAGTGCGCACTTCATCGCCATGAATAACTAACGAAAATTGTGTCTCTGTGTTCGCTGTGCTTTCGGCGAAGGCTATCTGGTTCGCGGCGGCAGTCTCCCAATCTAACAGGGTCGCGCACCAGGGTCTGTTTCACATCGCTGGAGAAGGTCTCGACGTCGTGGTCTGTTGTTGTGTGGTCACCAGCGTTGTGGTCTGACGTCCCTCCTGCTTCTGGTTCGTGCTTCTGCAGTCCACGCTGGAGAAGTAGGAACCGGGTCAGAGAAGCTTATCCTAAGGATCCATCTTCTCTGAGACAGCCCAATTTTTTTATTTTGTTTGGGCCTGGCACATTAAAAAAAATGGGGGGGGGGGGGGCCAGCATGTGAAACGAGTTGTTTCACTTAAGTGAGATGAAATTAGGCCTTAGCCTCAGCCCAGTACAATATATAATAAAAAAACCTATTTTTGTAAATTGCGTTTTGGCCCAGATTATAATTACCTCATTGGCCCATAATTTTTGGTATCTACGAAGTGACCCCAATAAATTTCAAAACGTTATAGGTTGGTCCTTTAACTTTCAGAATTGCATTTTGTACCCAAATCTTTTCCAAAATCACCTTTTAACCCCTAGACTCCTTTCAAAATTCTAGTTAAGTTTCAAATTTGTTCTCTAATTCCCAAAAGGACCCTAAGGACTTTTTGAAATTATTTTATTTTGTCCTAAGGTCATAAAGCTTGCAATTTTAAAAATTATTGGTGACGCTAAAAATCTTATAGCATTGGTAATGGACATACTCCATTGGTGTGCATTATTAATGTGACTTTTTGACGGTTGGCTTTAAGAATAGGCAAATAGCATTTTGTTTTATGTATTAGATATTTATTATACCACATAGGTATAGAAATATTTAATGCATTTTTTTTTTGTATGAACTTTTATGTGAGCCAAATCTGTGTGGTATAAGAGCCTTTTTTGTTGCATAATCATAATTGCATAACTAAAATTCGCTTGTTGGAAATTATATACTATAATTATGTCATGCAGGCATAATTATTATATCCCATATTGTATTTTGCAATTTCAATTTTTGTATTTTGAGCAACTATCTTTTGTTAAGGCCCTTTATGGAATTTTGTTTGGTGCACACTAATAGTTACATAATTAAAATTCGCTTGTTAGGAATTCTGTATTATGATTATATTTTGCATGCATAATTATGATTTTTCATTCTATTTTGTGATTTCAATTTCTGTTTTGAGCAACTATTTTTTTGTAAAGGCTTTTTATAGGACTCATTATAATTATTTGTAAGAATCCTTAAGTATGTACCTTACCACTTTGAGAATTAGTTGGCTCTAAGAGAACCCAAACCAGAGGATCTCTCTTGATAGTCCAATGCTTTTGATGAGACTTATCATAAATAGTTGTATAAATCTAATCAAATCCATTTGATGGTGGCTAAATTCACCATTAAGGAAAGGAATTAGGGCCACATTTATGGTGAGACATATTATGTGATGTTTGATAACACTCAATTATAATAGAACATTTGGTGCTAAATGGTTTATAAAAATTACTACAACCTAAGTAGGAATTCTTGACATCTTCATACTTTACGTACGAAAGGGGAGAGATTGAAGAATCATACAATATTAATAGTAGCCCATATTAACTTTCAATTTGAGAAGTGAAGTGTTTGAAGTTTGGAACGACTTTGAAAGCTAAGGCTCATTTAAGTAGAGTTGCTAGACTATTGTCCTTTTATGAGCTTATGCAATTCTAAACTTAAAATGAGCTCTTGATATTTCGAGCATGTACAATCCATTATATTGTAAGCTCTATTTATAATGTTCTACCATTAATAATCTAGCTTCATTAGAGGGATGGATAAATTATAGATATTTAAAATTTTCATTTTCATCCACATGCCAAAAGTCATTTACACTTAGTGATTGTGTGCTCACCTATAGTGGGTCAAATTATGCTAGTGTATTATTTAAAATTATATTTCAAGATATTATGTTGACAATAAATTTTACCCCATAAGTATGTCATTGTTAATGTAATTTGTATTTAAAATTTTAAAATTATCTCTAAATACCATATTGGTAAAGGACACTGTTGGTAAAACAAAGACTACCAATGTTGGTAGTTGGGCATTTATTTTGACAAGTTTGCAAATAAGAGTTTTAATGTTTTAATGTTTCTTATACCCTATAGGTATGGTGACATTAAATACATTTTGTTAGAACCCTCTTAATAAACCTTTAATTCATATTTGAACTGAATGCCTAATAAATATAGTGTTCAAAATAATATAAGATAAATTATTTGTATTAGGCTAGAAGTCATAAGTGAGATCTTTAGTTGAAGAAGTTTAATCTAAAAATATATTAAGGGATTCATTGTTTACTGTTGCATGGGATTAAGAGGTGCTAATTTTGCTATTTACTATCAAGTTAATCAAATTTTGACTCTTATTTTCAAATAAGTAGTAAGAGTTATGGGCTTAGATAATTGATCTACTCTTTAAGAGCACCATTTTTACCTAAGCATGTTTGTTCATCAACTTCATTTGATGATGATGAAGTTGTCAAAGAATCCACTTGTTAAAATAAACCTTTCTTGTTATACATGGTGAGGACAGTATCACATTACTCAAGAATGTCATAATAATTTACCATTAAATTATCTCAAACGAATAGAGACTTGAGGGAATGAATTGAAATGCCTTAGTAAGATGGTTTTGTAGAATTTAGTTGGGAACATTTAATGTGCAACTATCTAAAACCATCTCTAAGAATAGGCAAGTCTTTAGGTAGTGATATATGAAGTTTTGATGAGGCTATTAGCTCCCTTTAATTTTACTTAGAATACTTCAAATTTGTATATATTTGTTAAATGTTTGGGAAAAACAATCTTTTGCTTCTTATGCTCCATGCTAGTAGCCAGTCACTAGCTAGTGATCAAGTAAATGAGACGCATACTTGTGTTCATGCCACTTTGATATAAAGTTTTTTGTTTGACATAGTTATTCAAGGATTAATACCCCTTTTAATATGTCTAACTACAACCTTGATTTCTCTCAAACAACCTATTATAATCGAGTTCAAAAATATAATGTACGCTCCTAGTTTGATACATGTTTAAGGAGTGTAGGGTTGCTTAAGTTTTCACATCCTCAAAATTAATATTGAAGAGGACCATTTTGCATATAAAGAATTTTGTACAATTCTGCTATGAATGACTCTGAAGATGCTAAAATATGCATTAGTCTTTGATCTAAATTTTGTTTTGAATACCCCTTGGTAAATATTTGTGAAATCATTGCAAGAAATTATTGAAAAATTCTTGTACACTGAAGAGTATGTGACACCTAATGTTGGTTGTTAAAAATTTAATCCTTTTTTAAGCTTGTGATCATGAGGATTTAAAATGTACATTCTATTATTCCATAATATAAAAAGGAGCTGTCTTGAAAGGAAAAAAAAAGCATGTATTATAGACACTTGTAGTTACCTCAATTTAGAATGTGATATATCGATTGTTGTAAAGCATTTCATTACGTTATATTGAGGAAACTATTATTGGACATGTATTTGTTGTTTCCTCCAACTATGAATGCAATATTTTGTCTACCTTGAACTTCTATCAAAGATTTTGTTGGAGAATATTACAGACACTCAGACTTATTTGACTCACTTCTATGGTAAATGTATGTTTAAACATTTGTATGGCCAAAAGCTTACTCATGTGGGTTTTATTGTTTTTTTTTTTTTTAGCTAGCTTTGGTTCAGTGGGAGTTTGAGTTGCCTCCTTTTAAGTACATTTGATGGTTTAAAGCCATTTTGCTATTATGCTCAATTCTTGTTTCAGAAATAATAAGATATTTTATATCATTTGTTTCCCCATAGAATTCAATGATTCATGTATATGCATCTTGTATCACTTGTTTCCTTCTAGAATTTAGTGATCTTGTATTGTTTCTCTTTTGAGTTTCAATTTAGGTTCAGAGATGTTGCGGTGCTTTGCATCATTTGTCTCTTTATAGGATTCAATGATTTGTGTTAGAATACCTTACGTCACTTGCTTTCCCATACAATTAAGTGACTTTGTGTCATCTCTTTATCAAGTTGTGATCAGAAGACCCATTCTATGTTCATTTCAATTAAATGCATCTATATCATTTGCATCTCCATAGAATTTAATGACTCTGTTGTGATACGTTATACATGTCATTTGTTTTCCTATAGGAATCAGTGATCTTATATTATTATCTTACTGAACTCTGTTTGTAATAAAAATTTCATATTTTATTCAATTTAAATTATGAGACATTATACCACTTATTTTCCTATAGAATTCAGTTATTTTGTGAAGTTTCATTTTCTGAATTTTATTTGTGGCTTGTTTATACAACTTGCTTAATTAATGTAATCCAAATGGAAGATTGTTGAAATACTTATTTATGAATTTGCATTAATTAATAAGCCCAAACAAATTGATCTTTATGATCTTGTGTAGACTATGATAGATGGACCATACAAGTGAGCCCAATAGACAAAAGCCCAATCTACAACACTGTAGCTGTCAATTATTCTCTATCTTTTAACTGAGTCAAAAATAATAGAATATAATTTATTTATTTATTTATTTATTATAGCAATTATTAATCCGGTCCATATAAGCCAATTAATCAATAATTACAAACACACGATAATTTTCACTTACTCCATCATCTCTAAACTCTCTGCAAGCTATGGGGGTTCTGTGGCATCTATCTATACTCGAGGTAATCAAGGTATTTCAAGCGATTATAAATTCTTCAGGTATACATACATTATTTTAATCAATCTTATTTGATTTATGAATTGAGATATAAAGTTAACAAAAAGTGTTCATAATTCCCTTTCAAATCACCCAAACGCCATTCCTCCAACATTTTATGTCACTGTAAATCAATTCACACACACACTGCATGACGTACCAACTCTTCAATATAACTTGTAGCTCAAATGTAATTTAAACTAGCATATTCTATTAGCATCGAAAAATCAGACATCAATAACAAATAGCATTCGAGGATGACTAATAAAAAAGGCATGAACTCACGTGATGTTGGAACAGCACACAGGATATTAGCTTTCTTTTTTTTCTCAATTACCACCTCCTTTGACTTGGTTACCAACGTTCAACATGCAGAGGGAAAATGGAAGTTTCTGGTTTGGCTATCCACATTCAGCATGCAGAGGGAAGATGGAAAGCGGATAGGAAAAGGTAACTGTAAGGCTAATCATCTCCGTACAGGCGGTACTACGCCCCTACCAGGAGCTGCTCCGCGGCCTGCAGCTTGAGCCTGCACAAACAACATCAATATAATCAATCATCAACATATATACTCCTCTGGTCCTATTGTTAGTCACATTCTAAAAATTTTTCTTAGTCCTTTATGTAAGTCCCTCTCCCTTGTTTTTTGTAATCTTTGATGCCCAATTCTGAAAATACCCTCTTGCAAATTATAAAAAGAAGTGTAATATTTCAATTTCAAATAAAACTCTTCTCGCAAATTCTAAAAAGAAATGTAAGACAATTTATTACTTTAACTAACTTGTCTTAATTTTGATGAGTTAGTTAAAAGTGACTTATATAAAAGATGGGGGATAGTATATATCATCATGGAATAAATTAAGAATGATGCGACTCATTCTTTACACCTAGTGCAATGCACAGAAAAACATGTCGAGTTTAGAATTAAAACACATCTATCATGGATACGGCCAAAAGGAAAGCCTAAGAATGCAAGTGTAAAAACCTTTGCTCGCATTGCAACTGCTCTGCCCCTACCAACTCCAAGTGATGCACCCTTGCCCTGCGCGAGATTCAAGAAGAAAAAATCACACTCTAACATATATACAACATGAGTCTTTTATCCCTAAAAGATAACAAAGTTACCTTAATTCTAGCATCCAAACGCTTAAACATTGGAGCATTCTTCAGCATGTCTGGTATGACCATAAACCTGTCAAAATGCCCAAGTCACAGCAATTCAGAGCACTTGCAATTGCCATACAGAAACGTAAAATCTTCTTTAGAATATAAATTTTATCCAATCAAGCACAGAAGGTATAGTCCATACCTGACTTTGCTTCCTCGAATGAATACATGTTCAAGTTGGGATGTTTTTCCATCCTGAGGAGTGGCAATCATCATCAAATAAAATGAAGTTCAGTGTACATTTAAATTAAACAAACTTAATAATTAATATTAACAAACATGATTAAAAGTTGAAACTGGTGACAAGGAACCACTTTACAAATTTTCAAATTCAATTGCACTTTCGTAGGCCCCTCCTATTTTTGGTATGAGTACATGCTCAATGGTATAAACAAAACCGGAAAGGCTGTGAGGATACAAAACTGAGGTTGACACTAGACATGTTCCAAATTAGTGTTTGTCAGCACAGGAGATCTTTGGTTTGTTTGTCTTTACTCTTTAGAAGACGTCAGCCTCCTAGCGTTCATTGGGCTTTATTGTTTTATTTAGAGGGGCAGGGGAAGAAATAGCATACGGCCTAACAATGTCCTCTGACCTTCATTTTAAATACTAATTTTGAAATTGAAATTAGGAACTGGCACATTTCTTAGCTAAAAATTGTCCAAGATAAACCGTCTGAACTCTAAACCAAAAATGGCAGGTATTGGTTATTGGACACCATGGACTCTATCACAGAAAATTCACCATGCAGTATGCATGTAATGATATATTTCCAAATTCCAATATATGAAAAAAAAAATTATGCTGAGAAATATTTAAAATCATGTTTACTCCTGTACTAACTAATAATTAACTATTAACACAAACACTCATAGCATATTTATTTGGTTCATTGCCTCCATTCAATTTAAACCTGACTAAATGAAACTAACCTGTCCTGCTCATTAGCTTTCCAACTTCCGCATATGCTCATATTTAACTTAGTGCAACTAAAGACAGTAAAATTCATAGCCAAAATTTCATACAACTTGGATTTTGCTTCTAGCCATGTCCCAGATAAGGGAAGTGGAAATGCCAACAGATTACCATGTCCACGTTCAACCTTTTAACAGCTTAAATCTTCGTTCTTTTCAGTTGAACCATGTTTGATATAATCTACTCTGGATTAAATCTAGCCTCAAGATAATAACATTAACTTGTCTGATAAAAAAACAGCAGGGGATTGGATCGAAATCACATAATTTGAATTATCTTGTACAGCGAAGATATCTCTTCAAAATGCATTGAGTAAACTTTCACATTTGCTGCCACAGAGAATGGTAGCTCACAGCCATACAGAAGGAACCAAATGACTAGTGATCCCTCAATTACCTCCTATCTTTCCTTCCTAATCCCCTTTCTGAGGTAACGTATATGTGTTTTTCTTCATAGATGGCGTCTCATATGGTTCAGAAAAACTCGAAATCAAATTTACTACTAAGGTCAAAATTAACTGATCAGAAATCCAAGCTCTACGCAATTAAAACAAAACCCAAAACCCAAACATACATGAATGACATTGCGGTGACAAGTAACTACATGCAGAAGTAGAATTACACACTAGTGCGAACGAGAAGTACCTTGGCAGTGTAGGTAATGTTCTCGAGTTGGCAATTCCAGTTGTCTTCACACTCGATCATACTTCCTCTGTAGAGTTCTCCGCTCTTGAGCTCCACGGTGACTACATGACCAGTCGCTTCGTGAAGTAGCTTCACTGGTATTCCCAAGCTCCTGCTCATGGCTTCCCTCTTCACAACTCTGCGCAAAACCCTAATCAACTAAAGAAACTCGCCTTCAGCTTCGCTGCAGCACAGCTTCTCTTCGCTCCAATGGATTATTATTAAATTATTAAGTAAACTCTAAAATAAATAAATGTATACTAATTACATTCCATAGCTTTTTTAAAAAAATTAAATATTAATTTAAGTTAATTTAAATAGCTATAAGTTTTATATATAACTCATGATTTAAAATTTGATTTGTATTTGTAACTGTCAACTCATTTGCTTTAAAATTTTTGTTTGGACTTATAAGCTGTTAGTGTTAATTTAATTTTTGGAATTTTATTATTATTCTCTCTTTTAAAAATCACAGAGCCTCTAAAATTTTAAAGTTTTCTTTTTTAATTTTATTTTTATATTCAGTTTTTCTCAATATTAATTAATTAATTAATAATAAAAGGTCAAAAATAAATAGTAGGATGACATGACGGAACTGGGAGGCTTTCAATTAGATTAATTTGTCTGGCTAAAAAAAATTAAATTAATTTGATTGATTAGACTAATAATTAGGAAAAGGGATTTATAATAAGTTAGTCTTAGTATAAAATTAATGGAAAAATTCCAGAAAAAAAAATACATTGAAAATATAATATTAATATCAGATATAATGTTATAATTTTAAAAATTTTAAAAATAATATAAAGTGATGTTAAAATAGTGTTTTTAAAAGTTTATAATATGAGAATTAGAATAAAAAAGAATAAGATAATTTGAACTACAAACTATTTCTTTTTTTTTCTGGCTTTAGATAACCACAAAAAACTTTAAATTTAATTAAACATTCGTAAATTGGCTTGCGTGATAAAGAATTTATGAATCAATTTCAATTTCAATCATCAATTCTTACACTCTAATGTGAGGAGTTGACATACTACACTATCAATGAAAGAGAAATTGCAACAAAAAATATGTTTATTTGAAATCAGTAATATCGAATCAAATATTAACAAGTACGTAGTTAAATTAATAAAAAATTATAGTATCTTAATTAATAATTTTAAGTTTAAGTATTGTATATATAATTGTACTATATACCTTGGTGAAAATTGAGAAAATTGTAAAATAAAAAAAATTATCAAATTTTATAGTGGAGTTAAAATTTAAAAATAAGGAGAGTTAATATAAAAAACAAATATATTATAAAATTTTTATAAATTGTGAAGAAAACTGAAAATATGTAAGACCTAGATAATATAAAAAAATAAAAAAATTAAGAAGGCTACAACTCCGACTAATTTCCCTCCATCCGCTACTACATCAAATCAAATACCATAAAATTAAGTATAAAAAAATACGTGAACATCATCTCTTTTTTTTTGGTTAAATTATATTTATTTTATTTTTACTCCTTATCAAAAGTCAACACTAACTTTTTGTGAATGACGTAAAAAAAAAACTTATAATCAATCTTCTTTAAAAAAAATTATTCACGAATAAAAGTCATTAATAAATTTTATTTAAAAAAATAAATTATATTTTATATTTTAATAATAATTTATTTTATATTAATTTTATTCATAATTAATTCTTTTAAGAGAGGCTGATTCTCTCCAAAAAAAAAAAAACTTCATGGTTCAATAAAATTCATATTATCAAAAATAGATAAATAAATAATAAATAAATGAAATGAACCTCAGCTTCGGCTTCCCCACTTATCTTCGGCATTAGCAGTCCGAATCCGTCTTTCCTAATCGGTCAAAGCCATTCTCACACACTTTCATTCATATTCCTCCATTTCAAGCAAAGCTGAAACAAAAATCTCCATAAGCTCCTTGCTTCATCATCGTTTTCTGTTCAGCGTCTGACAATTTCAATCTGGATTGTTCAAAATCCCCATTTTCTTTTCTGGGTCTGCCTTGTTTGGCTCGCTTGTCTTCATGATGGTGCTTGTTTTCATTCGAGGTTAGTTCTCAGCTTTTCTTTCTTACGTTTTTCTGTACCATGATTTTATGTGGACAATTACGGAGATAGTAGACTGCAACTGAGTAATATCGTAAATGAAGTTCATCTGCTGAAAACTGAAATCAGAAAATATACACTCTTTGGGGTGGTGTCATAGTGCAGACCTACTTTCCTTCTTTTGGCCCTATGTAGTATGTTCCTTTATTTTTAGCTTAGAGAATTAAATCAATTGCGCAAAGTTGATTATTTGGATGCAAGAAAAATACCCATTTTAGTTGTGAATTAATTAATTTTGAGCTTTTCAGGCTTTGATACGATCAGTGCCCTATAATTGCTGTGTTTGACACACTGGACCTTCTTGATAAGATGGGAGTTTTTTAGATACTCATTTTTAATTGTATATCTCTCGTGTTGCAAGTAAAACCTGCAAGCTTGTGTTATTTTGATTGAACCCTTATTGCCATTTATTTTATTGGGATGTCTGTTGAGAGTCTAGCTCACAAACGCTCTGTTCCAATCAAATATTTTGATTGTATATCTCTTGTGTTGCAAGTAAAACCTGCAAGCTTGTGTTATTTTGATTGAACCCCTTATTGCCAGTTATCTTATTGGGATGTCTGTTGACAGTTTAGCTCACAAACGCTCTGTTCCAATCAATATTGTTTGCTAAATTGTTCCACGAATATTATTGATATTTGAATTGAAATGTTGCATTTCGGTGAGTTATACAATTTGAGGTTAGTTGGGTTCTCTACTGGTACTGAAAAGATCACACTAGTTAGTAACAAAGTTTTCTGATAGAGCTATTTGTATTGGTGATTTCATCAACCTGCTGTGTAATTCTTGATGATGCAGTACATAAAAACACATGGACAAAGTTTGTTTTCTTTTCAAATGTATCAAATGATACTAAACAGAACTCAGTTGACGTTAATCTGGAACTAGAGAGAAAGAAAGAGGGTGAGATGGAGAGGAATGTAAGTGAGAATTTTAAGAGGCTTATCTTGAGTCAAAGTAACGCTATAAATGAATTGCCTTCATGATTGTGACAAATTCGGGCACTGCTATTTTGACATGGTATTACCAACTTTTAGAACATGTAACCCTGCGCGTTAATCCTGAAAACTGCTTTTTGCAATATCGAAGTGCCTAAGCTAAGCATCTTTAAGATATATCCTGACAAGTCATGTGATATTAACATCATAACTTGTCAATTCATTAGTTTCATCAAGCCTTTTGCAACTGTGAGAGGCTCTAATCAATTGGAGGGAGGGACCGCCAGACCCAGACCTGACTTCTCAGATCTTTGAAGGAAGAAAAGCTCAACAAACGGTATAGATTTGTTCTCCAGGAGGATATCAGGGGAGCCGGTTAACTCAGGATAAGTTCAGCAAGTTTCTAGAGAAAAAATGGCTGCTGAAGATAAAAACCTTGTGGAAATATTGGAAGACCTTAATCCCATAGATGTTGCTAAATATATGAACTATGTCAGTGCCCCACAAGCTGGAGCTATAGCTACTTTTTCAGGAACAACACGCGATACGTTTGAAGGCAAAACAGTGTTGGAGTTGAGGTATGAAGCGTATGTACCAATGGCAGTACGATGTTTGAAGTCTCTTTGTTCCTCTGCTAGAGCATCCTGGAATCTGCATTCCATTGCTGTTGCTCATCGTCTAGGCACAGTTCCTGTGGGTGAAACAAGTGTGTTTGTTGCAGTTTCTGCCGTCCACAGAGCTGATGCAATGGAAGCTTGTAGGTTTCTCATAGATGAGCTAAAGGCAACAGTTCCTATTTGGAAGAAGGAGGTTTACACTAATGGTGAGGTTTGGAAGGAGAACTGTGAGTTCATGGATAGAAGGTCTGAGCTTGGTAAAAATGACGAAGATTTTCATGGGAAAGTGAAAGAAATGAAGGAGCATAACAGGAAGCCTTGTTGCAGGCCTAAGGTTCTGGTGAAGGATGAAGGTAACTGAAGATTAATGACAGTATCTGAGGATCAAAGATATGCTTGAGAAACATGTTCTGTTTATTTTTATTTTTTTAATATTCAAATAATACGAGAGGGATGATTGTACTTCTGTACTTTGTTCCTTCTGTTTGCATTGCTATGTTAGCATCAACTTTCTCTGTTTTTTAAATACAATACGAAGCAAAAAGCCTAGAGAAAGAAACAAGGTCAACCCTGATCCGTGGGTTCATTGATAAGATCATACTCCATAATAGCTAAACATTTATGGGAAGTTCTACAAGAAGTTAAGAACACCTATTTGATGGTTAGAAAATGCGTATTATGTGCAAGCCGATTAGTACAACTGTACAAGTATCAACTTCCTTGAATACAAGGCCATAGAAGTCACACGTGATCATTTTTCTTATATCTTTTGCAACCCCATAGGTGAGGTTTCATCTCTAATGAACCTTCTGAATATTTTCAATCGCTTCCATTGAATTTAAGACATCCCAGTCTTGAATACTTAGGCAGTCTAATGAATTGAATGGGATGGATTTTTTTTTTTAAAAAAATAAAGTCATAGTAATTAATAATTTTGCAGATGTATACACTTCCATTCATGTAACCATGCCACTCTTGACAAAATAGTATTTTCTCATTCTTAAATTATAAGACATTTTTAGATAAAATTTTACATATTAATAAACGTTATTAAATACATTTAACAATCTTATATTTTTAAAATAAAAATATAACTTTTAAAAATACCCATCATTTAATATATTGAAAAGAGAAGGGGTGAAAATTAATTATAGAGAGAGAGTGTAATATTTGAAGCATTTAATAAAACATTAATCCACTTAAAGTGTTTTATATTTTGAAACGGAGAAATCTTTTCAAAAATATCTTATAATTTATAACTGAAGGAGTACATGTTACTTTTGTTAAAAAACCTTGGTAAAGGGGCATTTAAAATAAATAAATAAATAAAGTGCATTGATAATTTAAGAATAATATGGTATTATATTTTGTATGGTATATTAAACAGGCAAGAATTCTCTCCTACTCCTTTCCTATCCTCTTCTCTTCTTTTCCTTTTTGTTTAACCAATAGATCATGACTTAAATGGTTTAGATTGATTTTTATAAAATTATTATTAAAATTTTAAATTAGAAAAAAAATATATGAATAATAAAATTCAAACTGTTAAAATTTAGCATAAACAATTAAAAAATATAGCAAAAACAAAACAAAACATAATATTTATAAAAACATCAAATCTAAATCATCCAAATTTTGATTTAGTGGTTAAAAATTAGGAAGAGGAGGGGAAAAGGATGGGAAGGGAAGAGAGGGGATCCTCTCCCATGTTAAACATGATATAATTTAATGGTGAATGGGGGGAAAAAGACTCCACAAATAAAAGTTCCTTATGATTGTGAATAAAAAAAATAATTGAAAATTACATTACGGTGCATTCATTGTGTATGTGAACGGGATTTTGAAACATCCATATTTTTTAATTTCCATTTACACTATAATGCGGGACTGAATTCTCATGTTTTATACAAAATCTGACATCAAACATAATGTTTATAATTTATTAATAGTGCAATTTTTTATAAAATTTATGTTCACACATTCTTTCCCCTTTCGACCTCTCTTACAGCACTACATCCAGTAAATTTTTTGTCGTTGACCAAGGCTAGTATCCTCCATCAGTAATAAATACTTAGCTCCTCGTAAGTATTTAAGTCAAGAGAGAATGATAATTGAGTTTTAATAAAATTAATTAATTTAAATTAAATCTCAATTAATTTCAGAATGCTAGCAAAGTTCCTTGATCCTTTAGTAATAATAAGCCTAATAGAAATTTGCAAACTTGGCACCTAATTTTGCAATTTATCGTAATATATTTACAACTTGTTTTTAAAATTTTAACAGAGAATATAGATGTTCATCTTTAATGTTGAGAAATATTAAATCTAATAGTTTCAAGAATTTGCAAGTTATTCGGCTCCTTATTTTGCAAATTCATTGTGATACATTTACAACTTGTTTTCTTAATTTTAACAAAGAATACAAATGTGCATCTTTATATTGAAAAGTATTAAATCTAATAGCTCTAGAGATGTGCAAATTGATTTTCAATTTTACAATTTATTATGATGAATTTGTAACTTATTTTTTAGATTCTAATAAAAAACACAAACATTAAAATTTGATGTTGAAAAATATTAAATTTGTTATTTACTCTTTGCCTATTGCCTATTTATCAATAAAATAAATAGATCTTTCATTTTCAAATTGTCTATTCTTTATTCTTCAATCTTATTAAAATTTAAAAAAATAAGTTATAAATACATCATAATAAAGTTCTAAATTAAGAGTTGAACTTTTAAAATTTTAGAGATGTTAGACTTGTTACAACAAAGTTGCTGATGATTTAGTTCTCTTTAGTGCTACTGCTCCCCAACAAGTTAACACCATCAAATTTGTCATGAATAACTTCTGCCAAGCTTCCGAGCATCGAGTCAACGGAGCAAAAACAAACGTCTTCCTTTGTTGGAATGTTCCTACCAAGGATATAGTTTTATTATGTACTAGCCTAGGTTTCCAACACACTAATAATTTGGGTAAATACTTGGGAGTTCCTTTATTACATGGCAAAGTCACGAAGGACACTTGAAAGTTATTTAGAGGAAAAGATTCAGAGGAAATTGTCTGGATGGAAAGCCAAATCTTTGTCCCTCGCTGGTCCCATTACCCTCACTCAATCTATCCTCTGAGCTATTCCCATGTATGCAATGCAGTCAATCCAAGATCCCCTACTCAACCTACTCTAGAATTGCCACCTTAATAACGAACTTTATTTGGAGTACTACCACAAAGCAAAGGATGATTCACCTTGTCAATTGGGAAATACTTTGTCAACCAAAGGAAAATTGAGGTTGCAAGCTAAAGGATCTTGAAACTCCCAATGATGCTTTTCTTATAAAACTTACATTCTCCATTGCCTCTCAACTGAATCTTTTTTGGATCAAAGTAATCAGAGCAAAGTATAAATAGAAGACCAGGCAACAATCAAGAAAAGAAAAAGATCCCACTCTTATCTGTGGCAAAGTCTAACTAACATTTGGGATGACGGTGATCTAGGCTTGAAATGGGTTCCTTCTGCCGTGAATGACATTAAGTTTTGGAAAGATTATTGAGTTGGAGATCTAGGGCCACTACACCACCTTGCATTTAGACCTTTATCACCTGCTGATTTGGACAAGCCTATCTTAGACCACTTGAGACAAGATGGATCCTGGAACTGGAATTCATTCCAACATCTTCGCCTGCAGGAGATTCTTCAAGAAATTAATACCATGAACCCCATCCATAATGATCCTAATAAACTGCTATTAGAACCTCACCAGCTTTGGAACTTGCACTGTCTCCTCTACATACTAGCTTTTAGCTTCTGATCAATGGGATGAAGAGAATGTTTTATGGAACTTTGATTGGAAATGGAAGGAAACCCAACAATTTCGTACCTTTTTATGGCTAGCTTTGAGGAACAGATTACTCACCAATGGGAAAGGCACAGGAGACATATGACCCAAGATACCTCTTGCGAAGTATGTAATAGACCCATTGAAGATCATGGCCATATTCTTTGCAGATGCCCCTCTGCATTAGATTTTTGGAATCTCATTGTCCATGACCATGAACTCCCTAGGTTTATTGCCATACAAACGCATGACTGGCTGATCCACAACCTTCATCCCTGCAACACCTCCTTGGCATGGCGCAGAACTTTTGGACTTATGTATTGGAAGATTTGGCATGCAAGAAATCAACACTTCTTTAACAACGAAAACTTTAATCCAGTCAACCTAATCAATGAAGTCATTAGCCCTGCTAATCACACTATCAACACCAAGGATTTCATTGTATTTCCCACTGCCACTTAACTGCATGTGTTTTTGGCATTCTAATGTATTTTGATCTCACTTAAATCTGTTATTTGTAAACTAGATTCCTTTTTGTACATTCCTTTGAGTAATTGAATCCTTTTTCACTCCAAAAAAAAAAAAAAAACTCAAATGATCAAAGAACTTTGCTAGCACTCTAAAATTAATTAGAACTTAATTTGAATTAATTGATCTCTTTAGAGCTTAAATGTCATTCTCCCTTCAGTTAAAAGGATAAGCCCTCCTTATTAGGTTTATTTCATACAAAAGTTATAAATCAATCATTTACTTGAAAGATCTGAATTATGATAGTAATTTTTTTCCCTACAAAGGAAGTGGACTCGAGAATGCAGATAGGAGTTACAAATACAAAAAAACCTGTCATTCCTTCAACCAGCTGCGATGTGGTGTCAAGAACGTATTGGTCAAAATTAATCGACTGTTTTTAGTGGAATTTTACATACCTCACCATTGTTTTGCTAATGAATTGTAAATAGTTCAATAGGCATCCTATGCTTGAACAAAATTGGATAATATCTTGCTACAATCTAGACAAGAACACAGCATTAGTTAAATTAAAATCCTCACGGAAGATTTAATGGCTCGAAACTCTTGTTCTGTAACATTCTTCATAATCCCATCTATCAGTAGGCATCCCTTAGCTTCCATTGTTAATTTAGAAACTTGTCCTGTCTCTTTCTTCTTCTTAACAGTTGAATCATCAAGTAGTGTAAGGTCCAAAGTGGCATCTCTCTTGACACCTTGTTTGCTTGGTTTCTGATTCTGAGTCTCCTTCCTATCCAATTCATGAATGTCTTTTCTATCACCAATATGATCAAGCGAAGGAAGATAGCCAGATGACCCTGCAGTGCGGGGCAACATGCCAATCGGGCATGGGTTCCATTCTTTCGCCAAAGTCCATGTCCGAGGCTCGTTGGTGTCGCAATCCGTCAATGATGTTGTTTTACTCTTTGTCACTCGTTGTTTGAACAACTCAAGCTTTCTAGCAGCTCGGCTTATGTATTCCTCCATCTGAAGGAAATTCACTGAAGAAATGGGCAAAGAGCTTTCATCATTGCTTTTGACTGAATTGGACAGAATGACATGAGAGAGCCTTTTAACTTTCTCCATTAGAGAGCTATCATCCATCAATTTTGCAAGGAGAAGGGCTGAATCCATTAGCTGCTTATTGCTTGGAGCTGATATTCGAAGACATTTTCGTACAAGTTCAAGCAAAACATTTTTTGGTACATTTGCTTTAGCAGATAGTACTTCATATAGAATCCCAGCAAGCCATGCAAACAAAGATGCAAGACGATCAATCTGGCAAAATCTTTCCCTACGTGAAGTCCCTAGACATTTCATTTCTGCACAGACGAGAGAAACAAATCAGCGAAGATAAAACTACCTCAACCTTAATCAATAATTAATATTAGGAACAGTTCTATATTAATGCAGAAGATAAACCATATGACTGTGCATGCAACTTTACAATCATTAGGAGCTCTACTATAATTGACCGTACAATCTCACACAACAAGATGCTTAAACATATAATAACAGTTCAGAAGTGAAAAAATCTGTACCCGTAAAAGTGGCTGAAAGTGAAGAATTACGCTACGCCCCATACTGAGCATGACCAAAACAAAACATTGTATCTCAAATCAACTCAGATGAACAAGCAAAGGGATCCACAGCTTGAAGCTTATAATAAATTGTGATAAAAGAACATTATAAATTTGACACTATAATGACATAACTCGCCTTGACATTGACATGCAAAAATGTGGATCAGAGTAATTGCAAGTATAGAAAGACGAAGGCTATCATCATCTTCGTAAACAAATTCATAATCCAATATGAAACAATTTAAGAATTTCAAAAATTGTTTCTAAAAAAAAATGTATCAGATGTCAAAATTTAGGTGCACCCTAAGTATAACTGAGAATGAAAGCAAATCCAAGTACCACACAATAATTAATCAATAGATACTGGATGCCACCAAAAAACAAATTGAAAATTGCTGACATGCAAAGCAAGAAGCAATCTACCTTCTTCATATTTCACTTGTTCCTGGGTCTCATCATAATAAGTACTTCCTTAAAAAGGTTCAGTAGTAACTCTGGCTCCTTATCACAAAATCTGAGTATGACAACCTTCCAATCAGCCAAAATAATATTTATGGTTGGACATGAAACTTGCTCCGTATGCTCTACTAATTCTGAAGAACTCAAGGCTTCCAACAAATACTCCAACAACACACCTACAATCTCTGAGGAGTAGGAAGAATAATAACTGAACAAGAGATTTCGATATCTTAGAAACTTGTTTCTTAGAACCTGAAAATAAAAGGATACCACTGCTTAATTCACTTCAGGTTCAGCACAACTGAGATGAAGTACCATAACAAATTCCAGCCACAATCATTTATTTTGAAGAATAAAATAGGAATATCAATATATCAATATCAACACGTGTAATAAAATCTTTATCAAGTCACATTTTTCAAAAGCCCTGAACAGTGATACACATCCTCAAACTCCTGGCATTGCACAATACAAATGCCTAGTTAGTTATGATAACAAGTTAACTACTTTCTTATTTGGATTCTGAATTAAACAAGAATCAATGTATGAGATATTTAGATAAAGAATTAAAGTAGTGAGGATGGCCATTATCTGAAATTACCAAGTAGCTTCACCTTGTACTTGTGATTCCAATATTTTGGATGACAACTAAAAGTTATCAAAGAAAGTAAATGCATTTATCTTATTGATAATAAAATGCCACTTCCAGATTTTGATATTTGACACTTGCCAGTGATAAGAGTCAAAAGATTATTACAGTCACAACATAATTCATCATGTTTGACGCTGTTACAGTGAAGATCCAGGTCAGAATAGTGGATGAACCCGGGGGACCAGACCAACAGTTTTACGAGACTTTGAATGTTGGACAAGAATCTGAATGTTGTTAGAATTAAAATCTCATTTAAATGCAGACACTTCCGGCATATTTCTAATGCATGTTACAAATGTCAAAAAGATCTTGAACAATTTTAAGTTCAATTTAACAGAGAAACAGAAGCACGTGCATTAAATGGGCCATACTTATCTCTAATTGTTCCAATAGTGCCACATATATCATCCCTAACTGTGCCCCATAAAACAAGCATTAAATTTTGGATTATGCATTTACAGTCTGCATGTCTCTAATGTAGAGATGATGTAAGGTGGAAGAATTCCTGCAAGCCTTTGAATCAAGAGAGCAATAAGCTGACCAGCATTATGATCTTGATTGAACAAATAAACAATCCATACTTTCTATATGACTGAAAAACATCATTTTAAAGACAAATGCAGTATGATGCAAAGTATCATAAGGATATAGTACATCCACTTGTACATTATTGCATGCCAAATGGAATTCATCCATGCATTCACAATGATACATGGATTTGTTCATCCATGTAGCTGACCCCACTTAGTGGGATAAGGCTTGTTATTGTTGTTGTTGTTCAGTTATACATGGTTTTCTTCTTAATCTAAAGGAGACCAAATAAGGAGAAAAAAGACAATGATATTTAACAAGTGCTTAAAGAAGAGGTTGCTGACAGGGGGGAAAAATACATGAATCCAATATTAAAAGAATGGAATAAAATTGGAAAAATAAGAAGGAAGTAGATCATAATTGTTGCTTGTTTCTATTTTTCAATATTTCATTCAAATAACTTCCATCCTCCTTGATTTGCAACAAAAGAAAGAAGTGGGGTCATGATTTTAGGGCAATGGATGGGAGCTGGCAGAAGCAAATGCTGCATATAGATGTATGCCTGGATGACACAGGGAAAGAATTTTCAGCCATCCTAATTTTCGTATTGAAATATAATAGTAGATAAATAAAATGCATACATTCCGTTACATAAGCTTGACATATATAAAATGCATATCACATCATAAAACACCATACTAAAGTCAATATTTAAAAAGATATGATTTAAACACTAATGTTATAACTTATAAGAGATGAAAATAAATAAATAGATAAATAAATAAAGCTCACGCACGTTTTCCCTCGAGTATTGGACTATTAGACTGGGAAATCTGGTCGCTTTCAAGCAGAAAGACAGTTCTCGAAGCTTGGATTTGATTTTCTTTCTAACCTTTGCATTTCCATCACGTTCAAAAGGAATTGCCTTGCTTTGAGGTTCCCAATAATAAGATTTCAACCAATCAAGTGCCTGAAATTGACAACAACAAAACAACTCACCATCAGTTAGAGGCACAAGGTCACTATTTTTCCCTTTAATTTTCCAAAACAAGCAATTGTATAGAACATGTTGCTGGCAATCTGGTAAATATCTAAAAGCTTTAGAATCTTATATTACATTAACAAGTCCTCCTTATTCTTACATCAACTATCGGCCTTGAAAAGGAAAACCCACTCCAATTGCTTCATATCAAATGAGTACCTCAAATCTTCAAACATTATCAATTAACACCACCCCATGGACCACACATACTTGACACTGATATGATAATAAGACACACTGAAATAAGCTATACCTTAACTGAGGCACTGCGAAGAAGTTGAAGTGCTGGAAGTCCTCGATGTGATCCCTCTAAAGTTGAAGGAATACGTAAGGGGAAAGGCATTTTTCAATATATATGTAAACAAATAATAGTGGGAGACAACTTTGTTTACCATGACGAATATCAATCAGCAACCGTGGAATACCAATTACCATTGCCTCAGCAGAACAGCTATTGACTTCTCTTCTTTCTTACGTGTCTTTTCAATAACACCATTGACAAGCCTTCAACAAACAAGGTTGTGCATTAAAGGGTCACATATAACACAAGTGCTTGCGATACTTTTCCTGAAAGTAAACAGCTGCTCATACTAAAGATGAAAAGATAGCAAAAAGGCCCACAGAATCTGAAGATTCCTAAATCTCATGACTGGCAAAGTTTCTTGAAAGGCCCTCAAAATATCTTCTAATAGTCTCCAGTGACCACACAATCATGTCCCATGATCTTGAGCCACATTAACTCATTAATTAATTTTTCAAAACAGTGCAAGTACAAATAGATTTACTAAAAAACCTTTTTTTCTTTTTTTTGCCAGATACTAAAAATCTTGTAAATCACTTGATCTTGTACATTGTACTGGTGCTATGGATGTATTTCGAAGGGTTATAAGAAAAACTTCATATTTGAAAAAATTGAAAGAAAACCTTACTAATGATTGCCATGCAATACAAATGAGCAAGCATTTTCTCTGAAAGAGAAGTATCTCTACACCGCTCCTCTTCCACTCTACAAAAACCAAGGTTCATCAAGATGTATCATTTTTGACGTTCCTGTATAAAAGAAAACTTTGCATCAACGACATTAAGGGGATGTTCCTTGTTCAAGCCTATGGTAGTTGTTTCTTATATTTAGCCTAAAAAGATTCTCTCAATTTTTTTTTTTTGGTGCAGGGAGTAAAAAACTATAAAAGATCATAAAAGTTATGAAAATCAGAATAGAAAATCTACCTACAATAGGGATCAAATGTTGATTTCAATGATGGAAGCAGTGGCCTCAATAGCAGCTGGCAAACATCCTCGACTCTCCCATGCCGATATCTGAAAGCAAATTAAGTCTTTCATCAGCTATATCCTTCTGTATCATATTGAAAAGGCTTGCAAATAATCAGCATCAAATTTACTCTTTTTAGAGCAAAAGCAATGGAATCTGGGGAGTCTGAGAAAAGAGAATCTTTTAACCAAAACCCATTCATCCCAGTTCAACCAAGGCACCCATTTGAGTGCATATGACGAACTTTGT